TAACTCAGTAAAACAATTTGAGAATTTCACCTTCATTTCCCTATCGAATCCAACTTTCATTTACTCAACATAGAAATGAAATTCTTTGCAGATTGCTATCAATGTTTTTAAGCAAAAAATATTTTTTATATAAATGTCACAAAAGAGGAATATATGTGTTTAAATAAGACCCTGAAACCCAGGAACCTTTATGTTTTAACCTTATTTTATAAATATGTACAACAAAAGCTCTAAGAACTGGAAACTAACCCTAATACATCTTAAACAGAAAAATAAAAATATTTGCTTCAAAGCTTCCAAACCTCATTTTTTTGTATGCCTTTTTAAATTGCGGTCACAATAATAAACAAAGAAAAAAATATTGAATGAATTTATATTATTAATTATTATATGTATTATATTGAATAAGTTAAAAAAATGTATATATTTTACTAAAGGATTAGAATGGACAAAAGAAATCAATCTAGCACAGACCATTTATAATTTTTCTAGACTGTTATCTGTGCCCATAGAACATTTAGTATTAGGTATGCTGTGTTATATCATTTTAAAAGTTTTCACGCACGCTATTCAGAAATCAACAATAAAAAATAGCTACAAATTATAGTTATTTCAGCTGTCCCTCATCGAATTGGTATAAATGTGTTACTAACATATTAATAGGGGTTACATAAAAGTACAAACAAATGTATTACGAGTCATAATAAATTTTGTACGTTTCGTCTCGGGTCTGCCGTAGTTATAAGTTGTAATTCAATAACAAATATACGCCGATCAGAAAATAATAAAACAAATTATAAAAATACATTTTTAAAATAAAAGTTAATCGCCGTCGGGGCAAGCCTGATGTTAATGATATCACGATAGATTGGTGCCGTAACGTGTTACGTAACAAAGAGGTTTAGTTTTTGATAAACACTTTGATACTGTAAATTAAGTTTAGTTTTAACTTTAAAACTGTTTCTTCGTTGAAAAGTTACATGTTAGTTTCAAAATTCATATTCGAACATACTTATCTGTTTCGTGTATAATAGTAGGCGAACGTCGTTACAAAAAATTGTGTAACTACGTTTTCAGAGTGTACTGTAAGTTTAGATGTCTAGAATTAAAATTAATAATCGATTTTAGAGAGTAGAAAAAAATCTACACGGACAGGACTGGAACTAGCACTCAAAGCGTTCCGTGCTGTTGCTCTAACCAGTTAAGCTACCTTGTCCTACACGTTTAATTTCAATTTTTTTCAATCTTCATACATGCAACTCTTGCGCAATGTAATTACTTAATATCTCGATCAGATATTAACCTTTATGTAATCTTAACCCATATTAGAATTAGGACACTCGTATTATATTACGTTTTAGCGTGACCAAGCTTTCGTCGCCACAATTTCCATTTTCATAAAATAGTAAAACAAGGCCGTTAAGAATCATGGTGAAAATTCGAGGTCAACTTCAGCTAACAGTTGTTATTATTAACCCATAACTCCTTTGTTTATTGCTGTACGGACCGTTCCTAAAGCTCTGGTCTCTCGATAGGCCGAGTTCATACGTGGCTACAGTTCAAAAACAATTCTTACGTCAGATTGACTGTAAACGATCAATGCAAAAACTAAAAAAAACCTAGAGATGCGGCACAAATCCAGCTATAAAAAGAACAGCTTTTTTATCACAACATCAGCGTTTGAAAGATACAACAACAGTATATTTCTGTAACAGTTTAGACCGAGTTCAACATCACGCATTACGCCGCATCAAGATGTTCAGTACTAAATGATCCACGCACGTGACTACAGTAAAAAAATAATGCTCACGTCAATTAAACAACAATAACATATTCCTGTTGCGTAGCGTATACGTAACGCGTTGCGCTATACACGACTTGTAGCGTTTATAGGAGACCAAGCCCTAATCAAAGCCTTTTTTGGGTAGAGCCGCCAAACTCCATGTTAAACTCAGTAATTAACCTGTGTAAAATTGCCCCTATTAATGAGTTATTTCTGTGCCTTTACACGTGGAAGTGGAAACGAAGGAACACAATCAAATAATTTAATAACATCCTTCTTTTGTTTGATGGAAACTACCTGCATTTATACACTAACAGTTATATTTTATTGTGTACAATTGACTTACTACGACGTGCCTGTTTTATTTAATTTTTGAGATAAAAGAGAGACACAAGGTCTATTCGTTCACGAGGCTTTATTTAAAATACAGACGCGATTTTAGTACATTTTTAAATAAAACAATTTTAATGGTCCTCCATATTCAGTTCCCCCGTGACTACGGCTGCTGTAAAGCATCTGAAACGTCGAGCCGTAGTTTAAAAAAATGTATGTATACTTAAAAACGAAAAACCAAAATGTAGCCTCGTAAATTATTTTTCGGCGTTAGTTTTATTAGTTACACTACAGACAACACTCACTTTTAACAGTTTAAAACGGGTTGTAATTGTTGACTTAATTAAATTTTATTTTTACAATTATTTTTCATGTTCGGTTTAACTTTTACTTATGTTTTTAACGAGAAATAACTACATATTATATAATGGGAATGTCCCGCTACATCGAATGGATACGTTATTACCCTCAAAGGTATAATACTAGTATGTTATCCGTAATCTCCACTGATTTGATCTTTCAAGTTGACATTTCAATTAGGGTCGAAATGTCTCGAACTTTCCAAGGGCTGACAAAACATTTGAAAGTGTCTGTTTTCGTGAGTTCTTATGCAAATTTTTGGATAATTTTATTGATCTTTCGTCCCCTCGTCCTACTTATAAAAATGTAGTTTTTTGTTCTTTTATTATGTTAACGAATAAACCAAATTCTTTGAACAGCTCTTTCGCTAACATTATAAAAATATAGTTACAAAGGCGGATAGAGAATATCAATTAAATAAAATCCAATACGGTTGACAATAATGTTGGAAATATAGATAATACCGTGACCTCACCCCTTAGGTACCGGCCTTGTTTCTATTTCTAGCGATACTAGAATAAATAAGGACGTTTTGAGCTTAAAATAGGTAGGTACCTGATCTAAATGCAAATGAGCTATTTCAACTATGCATACATGCTTTGTGGTTCCCGGGAACTTGAGCTGAAAAATTAATTTCCTTTCACAAACTATGAGTCCTCATTAAATATTTTGGAGACATTCGAACTTGGTGCTGCATAGCTTGTTGGAATATTAATGATCTGCACTGCTATGCAGGACGTTTAATATCTAATCTAACTGATATTTTTTATCGCCAGTTATTTTTATACTTAGATAGTGCTTGCGTGATTTTTTTTATTGATGTTGTTTTTCTACAACTGTTTTTTTTAATTTTTGTTGCTGAGATAGAAGGCCTTATAACAGTTCTTATATAATATACTAAATTATAAAGCTGAAGTGTTTGTTTGAAAACAATGTTTTTGTGTTGGCTAGAGCATTTATCGAGGAAAGCTTGAGGCTACACAACAGCCTCTGGAAAATGTAAAAAAAAGGGATAATGATTTATCCTTCTCTTTGTACGCACTTCCGGTGCGTACGCGACGAAAAAAAGCGAAGCTTCAAGATACCCAAAATATATGTTACAAAAATTTTTCCGCAATACTATATATATATATTTTTTTTAATAACTGGGACGCAGCTGACGTCATGGGTAATATATTTAATTTATAAAGATAATGATGCGGAGGTTTGCAAAAAAAATTTAAATGCCCAAATTAGTACTAGCCTGACACAGCTAGTTCTTTATAAATACAATATCGTAGTAGAACGTTGCAATAAATAATTATTAAAATAAATTTTAGTAAAATAGTAGCATTACATAATAATATCTGGATAGAATAAAAACGATGTCAAATGTAGTCTTTATTTGAATGAGCTAATTTCCATCTACTTAGTAACTGTGCTTCCACGAAGAACTGCCGGAGTGGATCAATACACTCCAGACTACGCACCAGAGCCTAGATGTATACGTAGATTAGAATAAGCCTTTGTACAAATACAATTACTTACTCGGTATAATAGTTTTTAACTTTGCTACGCCGTAGAAGTAAACAAATTTATCTTATATAAGATTTTGACGTTAAATTATCTTTATACGAAGATGATCATTTGATTCCTGTATTGAGTCTGCAAACAATCAGATACTATTTTTACTAGACACTGAATTAATATTTGAATAAGAAGTATGTATTACTGAGTATTATGTTTTGTATAGCCTGTAGTCGTGATATTGCTTGATGTAAACATTGAACGTGTAGAAAGTGCTACGCCGTAGAATATTTTTTTTATTTAATTCCCGGCGTATTATTTTATTTTTATTTATTTGTTTAACATTTTAAATGAGACTGCAGCTGTAATACTTAGTTTATGTTTATGGTAGTCGTTACATAAATTTAAAAAATACTAAGAAGTTACTACTGATATTTTACTTTAAATTTGCTTGAAAAAAAATACATTATAAGACAATTGAGTACAAAGTCACATAACAATAAAATGTTTAGTTTTAACCTACATAAAAAAATAACTAGCATTGTTTGTGATGCATCATCACGACGAAGATCCACTCGTAAATATTTTTGTGCTAAGTAACATTGAACTTTTGAATTATCTAACTAAAGTATTAAATATTTGGTAACACGTAACAATTTGTTAAGTAATTTCTGTAGATGGGGAAATGTCCTTTTTTTTAAATAACTCCTTATATTTTTTTATTCTGTGCCTTATTTTATGTAAACTACCTGACTATTTAACGTATAGACACATTATAATACAAAGATAGTCAGAAAATCTCAAAGTTGAATTAAGTCTAAAAATATCCTACCATTCTATTACTAATATTGACCAAAGAAACTTTCACTATGTATATATTTCTTTATATACCTTTATTACCCGTGTGTTCATTCCGTACGGTTTCCAAGCGCTCAGAAGCTGAAAAGCTAATAAAAAGCGACACGTGTTGCAAGTAGTAAATCACGCATAAGTGGGCTCAAAGCCAGCTTTATAATTTATGTGGCAGGATAGGCGAGTTGGCAATGAACTTGGCAGTAGGGCGGAGGTGTGTCTTGCAGGCTGCATCGCCCAAGGCCGTCGCGCCGCACATTGTATTACTGACATCGATTTATCGGACGGCGCGCGCCGCCTTCGCCCCAACCCCGCGGCCTCTGCCGTAAGGCACTTCGCGACTTTTATCACCACTTTTGTGACGTCACCCTCCTTATATTTTCTATTAGACCCATGGTAAAGTTATGACCTCCGTGATACAAGTAATATTGTATGCCAAATGGTTCAAACCCCGGAAAGTAGATAAAATTTGGTAGAATTAGATACGAATGGTTGATTCTTACTTACCTGTCGGTTTATTATATGCATAATACATATAAAATATGTATTATGCATTTTAGGGGTTTTAATATACGAAAATACATTTTTTTTTTTTTAAGATAGAGGACAAGGATGGGGTTCTTTGGTGAAAGGTGAAATTCCTCAGCCATATATCATCTAAAGAAGATAATGCGCTGTGTGTTATGGCCTTATAAATAAGGAAATTCGCATACTGAAATTGCAACGCAATTAAACTTCAGGGCTTTCGACTGTAGACGGTGAATGTCCAAATTTCCAGATGAAATCCAACATGTTTCAGAAAAAATATAATTTAGTCAGAAACATGAGGGACCTAGTGAGTACGAACCCACGACCCGTTGATTGTTAGCCATACATTGGCTACCAACGCGTCAATGAGCTCTATATTATCTTAGTATGATTTTTAAATTTTAGAGCTGAAAGAGTATATTTTTAGGTTCAGAGAGAGAAACCTTATCGTCAGAAAAGAAGTAAGGCTAATATAGAAGGCCTGGATCTAGAAGCACTTATAAAGTGATATTATATCTATACGCTTATAATGATTTTATCTTAGTTTTCAGTAACTGGTGAATTAAGAAGATACTTGATATTAAAATTAATCGTTACTCGTTATTAGTATCAAATAATAATTAATAATTACCTAATAATTTTGGGTATCAAAACTGATCTATATTAATCTATACTAATATAAATAGCTGAAGAATTTTTTTTGAACGCGGTAATCTCAGGAATTCCTAGTTCGAATCAAAAATAATTTTGTGCTGATTAGTGCATTTACCGAGGAGGACTATAGGATATAAAATATTGTGCCTTGACTAATAGAAGCGTAAGCAACAGCAGTAAAAGTAAAAAAAAACAGGAAAAGTATATATTATTTTGTGAATTTCCCTTGCGTCGCTGCAAAAACGGTTCAAGATATCCAAAAATATCTACGAAAGAATGATTCATCTTTAAATGATTTTAAAAAACGTGCCAGACACTATACATCCATCTTTTAAGATTGACTTGCAAGAACGACGGGTGCGGACGGTCGCAAATTTAGCTAGGTCAGTTATATAAAGAAACTAAGTAATTACTCTAGAAGTAAAGTAAACTATAAATTAATTTTTCAAAGGGAATTTGTAAGCATTTCGTTATCAAAGCAATTTTTCTTCTACTAGATCCACTGTACGCATTCAGTTATTTGTCTATGTCGACCTGGGTCGAGAGCGCTTCACACTACTGACAAATATATAATTACAGATATATAATACAACTTATATGTCAACATTGTTTGGCTAACACTTCTATGTTGTATTATATATACAGAAGATGTTGCCTTGAACTTAGTTAATTTTGGTTTAAGGATTTTTATTGAGTGACCTGTGTATGTTTGTTTACTACATATCAGAAAATATACAAACATTTTTCTCCTTTTATTGGATCCCATTGCATTGAGTTAACACCAGAGTACTTGGGTTTTAATCCCGGTTAAAAATTATTTCAAACTGACAGGCCACAACAGTCTAATCTACTTGTCTGTAAATATCATTTTAATTTTTACGTATATCTATTATCTTGCAACGAATCCTATATTAATATAGAAATACTAAAACACGAATAAAGGTACCACTAAATAGAACCCGTAAAATGTCTACAGAAGTATTAAACATACACATCTAATTGACATCGCTGTACTTAAAAATGTTTATAATACGTTCCATTAAAAAAAACACTACCACCGCTTGCCTACCATCAATATCTATAACCGGTTCTAAAATTAGTAAATATTAACGAAGACAAATTGTGGTCCTAGCTCTGCTTTCGTGAACTTAAGGGCACCGTGGGGTAGAAGGTAGCTCGTTATACAACGCAACTGTGTGCATACAGAGTAACGCTAAGTTAATTTACACCGAACACCGTTCCCGGCGGACCCAACCCGATCTCGTGTATTGTAGAGAGCGTTCGAGTCACTATCCCATACATGAACTGAATTCATTTATTGCTTTGAGACCCAGCCAAGACTTAATTGTATGAACATGTGAATAATGACGTCGCGCCTAATTGGGTCGTGGTTCGACTCATTTTGTTCGAGTTGAGATAATAAAGGAAGCTGTTTTATGGACTAAATGTTCAAAGCAAAAATAGGATGATATCATCGTATTAAGATGGTTTTTTTTATTGTAGGTAAAATAACTCAGCCATAAAATATGTAAACAAGATGTCGATCTACTTTACATTAGGATATTCGGAAATCCACAGACTGAAAGCGAAACTATCCGAAGCGTTTCAAGTTCAAGTCTTCTTCCTACCACCCGTTTAATATCCAGGCTTCCAGAACAATTTCAGCATGGTGCAGAAAAAAATATACATTGATTAGAAACATGTAGAAATCCCGGTAGGGATCGAACTTACGATCCGATTATTGTTAGCCGTATCTACCTACCATTGAACAACGAGCCGGTCTATGTCTGGGTATTTCATTTTCCATCAAGTGAATCTTATACTTGTCTATATTCCTCTATTATAAAAAAGCTAAAACAATAGTACGACTAACTATAATATCCTTGTTAAGTAGATTCGTGCTACTAAAAGCTTTTGGTTACCATGCGGGAACGCGGAGTTTTTAGGCACGACAAAATAAATAAATAACACAAAATAAATCATATGTAAATAACAATTGAATTAATTGTCTTAGAGGTGCCGCGGATTCGAGTCCCGCCGTTATCTAAATTTTAATTGTAGAATACCTTAAGTAAAATAACAGAGTTAAAAATCGATTTTATATTGAAAACAAAAAAAAACCTACTGCGACACATGGTAGCAATCAATTGGTCAGAGTAGCAGCACGGAACGCGGCGGAGGTCTGTTCAAATCCTGCCTATATCGTTAAATTAAGTGAAATAACATTTAAAAAATATTAAAGTTACAAAAAATAACAGAATTCTTATAATGAGAAATATCAATACATTATAGAAGATCCACGTGAATTTCTAAAACATAATTATTGTACATAAAATACTAAGCAATGTTATATTCAACATAAGGACTAATGTATACCAGTAATTGTCCACAAAGAACCGCCCGACTGAGGTCTTAACAACGCCATAATAAATTCATTTAACAATCATGTAATAAAGTCCTAATTATTTTGTCACAGGAACTTTGCACGTTCCCACGTATCACACGATGATTCTCTCGTTAGGGTTGCCGATAAAAATGAATTACAACGCCGTCGGTAACCCTGAAATTCAGTAATTTCTCGTTTCCAAGAATTTTCTTTATTGCCTGGTTCAAATGTAATGTAGATACTGGTTTTCTCATTCCCATCACATGAATATTTCAGATCACGTCCCTGGAAATTATTTCACTTTTTGTATTTTCTTTACTTTGTAATGTTGGTCCGCGACAGCCTGTTGGGTTTAGTTTCTTTTTTAATTTGTACTGTCTCGTCGATTTTTTCAATTTAATTTAAAATATATCACTTAACATGTGTATATGCGTGTACAATAATAATATTCAATTTTTAAGATTCAACGGAAGTCCTATTTTTTGTATTACTTTATGACTGCGTTTTCCCTTCCCTGTCCTAAAGATATAATGTAAATTATAACGTTCTGCCGTACTTTATTAAAAACTTAAGAGTAACCCATTCTGAATTTGAAAAGTTTTTGCTTTCCAATTAAAATAATGACATTTCTCCACTCAATGAAAGATTTCTGGCTATAACATTAAGTAATTTTTATTTTTTTAAGATAGATGAAGACAGACAAGCATGAGGTTAATTTAATGGTAGGTGAAATATTCTAGCTAATAAATAAGATGCACTGTCGACCTATTTTATCTTTTAATATTCGGAAATTAAAGGACTGGAACCGAAACGCGATTAAACTTTACGCCTTTTTCATCTTTGGACCGTGGTTCGTCGGATGGAATTTCGACATACCTACCACCTATTTAATATAAAAGATTTCCAGACGAAGTCCAACATGTAAGAGAAGAATTATAAATTGTTTAAAATAATTTCGACTCAGGGGGGCATTGAATCCACGATCCATTGATTATAAGCCATATATTACTACCATTACACCAACGAGCACGTCTGGATTTGTTAAAAATCAACAAGAATTTACCTATAACTGGTTAAGTTTTTCTACTAATTTATAATATCATAGGTTCTTCTAAAAGAGATAGCACAGTGACTTGACTCACGTAGGTGCAACCATTGATTTCCCATTTCAGGAGCCGTAAATCTCGTCTATAAGTACATTTCGACTAATTCACTCGTTATCGAAAGTATCGTAGTAATTTATTACCTCGCGTGTGCATAAGTTTGAATTGAGGTAAAAAATATGTAGCCATTTTATCAATCTAGAATATTCCCGAGGCGACCGAATCCAGGTTATGACTACATCATTAATATGTTTATTACCTAGATACATGGATTTACTACGGTAAACTTTCCAGTATATGTGGGACTAAGTTCATTCATTTCTTATATATTTTTCCTTTGCATCATAAAGTTTAAATATCCACAAGTCTTCGCCCACCCAGAACACTTCATTGAAGTGCCCTACCTAAATAAATAATCTTAAATCTAAAATTTATTATCTTTTTCGTAGAGTAGTTTCAAAATCGGTAAAACACCGTTATTTGAGAACATTTTTATCGATTTTTTAATGTATTTCTTGTTTCAGGTACATCTTCATCGACATCAAGTGAAGTGAAGAAATGAGTTTTAACAAATACTCCATAATCAAGCTCGCCGATTACTTCAGATTACATCGCGACACATCTCGTTAAAGTGAAGAGACTTTATCGTCGTCATGACATCCCAGAATCGAATCGTATTCACAAAATTATTGTTGTGTTATTTCGTGACCGCAGCATGGGCACGCTCGTGGGCAAACCATCACGATACGACAACATCGACCACCCACACGACCCCAACAACGAGTCAAATGCCCAAAAACTTTCACAATGATCCGCTCATCGTTGAAACAAAAAGTGGTCTCGTTAAGGGCTACGCGAAAACCGTAATGGGTAGTGAAGTGCACATATTTACAGGCATTCCTTTCGCTAAGCCCCCGTTAGGCCCCCTCAGATTCCGTAAGCCAGTCCCCATCGAGCCCTGGCATGGCGTTCTCGAGGCTACAAACATGCCGAACAGCTGCTACCAGGAAAGATATGAATACTTCCCCGGTTTCGAAGGTGAAGAAATGTGGAATCCTAATACTAATATCTCCGAAGACTGTCTCTACCTTAACATTTGGGTCCCCCAGCATTTGAGAGTGCGGCATCATCAGGACAAGCCTCTAGCTGAAAGACCCAAAGTACCAATTCTAGTATGGATATACGGCGGCGGGTACATGAGTGGAACGGCTACACTTGACCTCTATAAGGCGGACATAATGGCCGCTTCTAGTGATGTAATAGTCGCTTCTATGCAGTATAGGGTTGGGGCTTTTGGATTTTTATACTTAAACAAATTCTTCTCGCCGGGCAGCGAAGAGGCGCCAGGTAATATGGGTCTTTGGGACCAGCAGCTGGCTATCCGTTGGATCAAAGATAATGCCCATGCATTTGGTGGTGATCCGGAATTGATAACTTTGTTCGGCGAATCCGCGGGCGGTGGAAGTGTCAGTTTGCATATGCTTTCTCCTGAAATGAAAGGACTCTTCAAAAGGGGAATATTGCAGTCGGGAACGTTGAATGCACCGTGGAGTTGGATGACTGGTGAGAGAGCTCAGGAAATTGGAAAAGTTTTGATTGACGATTGCAACTGTAATAGCAGCCTTTTGGGTGCCGATCCGAGTCTAGTGATGGATTGCATGCGAGGAGTGGACGCTAAAACCATATCGGTGCAACAGTGGAATTCGTACACAGGAATTTTAGGCTTTCCGTCCGCACCAACTGTTGATGGAATATTTTTGCCAAAGGATCCCGAGACGATGATGAAGGAGGGCTATTTCCACAACAAAGAAGTACTTCTGGGAAGTAACCAAGATGAAGGTAATTTATTTTACACACTTACTTGATAGATTTTCGTTTATTATTTATTTATTAAATTCTTTATTACAACACACACAAACACAAAGTATACAAGTATATATATATGTATATTTGTTACCTTAGAAATATTCTTAATAATACAAGTTATAAAGATACATTATTCTTACAAGTTATGGAGTGCGGCCTTATCGCTATAGAGTGATCTCTTCCAGGCAATACTTAACGTTAACTTTACGTTTATTTAAATACCTATTAGGTTTCGCTAGACTATAATCGATTGTCAAATACAAAGTAAACTTCACAATCAACAATAAACTTTAATTACAAAATGACTTAAAGCGATTAATATATAATTAAATATCGTTACTTCCTGCTAACACGGTAGGAGTATGTAAGCTCTACCGCGGGGCAAAACTTTGATGTTGTGGCTTTGTTTCGTGAAGGATAACTTTATAATTTTCTAGTAGGTAAACAATATGTAACGGTATTGCTACATATAATTAATTATGAATTTATAAAAAAACAATTATACCTTTTTAATATTATTGAAAGCGGACTGTGGGCGTCACAATACAAAAAAATATATTGCGTTCGTCTTATTGTTTACTATAATCTAATTCTGGTGCCTAATATTCGTATTACTAATTAATTGCTATAATTCATTGGGACATCATTCGTTAAGGAAAGCAGAATTAGTTAATTAATATTTCACTTTTGAGATAAAAAAAATTGCCAGATATAAGAGACGTAATAATTTACTAAAAGGGACATCTAACTTACATCTATATTCAACATTAAAATAAAACAATTTCTACGGCTTCAAACTCGATTCCGATTTACTTTTTAGTTTAGCTGTAACATTTAGCTTTTGATCGCGTTGTATTTCTTTGTTATAGATAATAAAAGATATTTGTTTTCTAAACGCCGAGAATTTAAAGTAGATAATTCGTTGTTTACATGTATAGTCTTCAGAATTTGATAAGGCTCCATTAGGGGAGCATCTCCGAATGCCTGAGCGATCTATCAATATCGGTTGCCGAGTTCGAGGTCGCTTGTCCTGTACACCTGGCGCGAGGGAGGCACGCTTGCGCACTCAGTGTAAACACAACAATACAACGACGTAGATTTTACTCGTACTACCAAGTACTACAGACGCGCCCACGTACTTCGGGCTAAATCCCCTCTCCCCCATGCCCCCTTGTTTTGGTCGTCAGGCGCCCCTCTCTAGTGTGGCGCAGTTTCAAGAATAATAAAATGAGATTTTCCTTACAATCCTTTTACGATTTTTTAATTTAAAGTTGAATACTTTTAAGTTAATTACTTGTATTTTTATTGAGAAATTAGATGTTTTATAAAGGCGTTGTTAGTGTACTTTACCGTGGCTAAGATGCAAAAATGCTTGCATTGTCTTGAGCGTGATAAGTCCTGGATTTGAGTCTTGGAGAATCTTATTATTGTATCAACTTGACACAAAAGCTCGATCCTACTAGCAAGTAAACAATGGTACAAATATATATCTGCTCTATGCACCATCTAAGGAAAACGATATTCCTGACATTCCCGTTATTGAGTTATGTCGCGCTTCCATCCTCTATTTGGTATTGTCTATTGTTCTCTAGATGGTTACAAATATAGACAACCTACGAGGAAGGAATCTTTGCAGTCTGGTTCCTGTGTTTTCATCGCTAGAATAGCAGTATATGACGCCAAGTAGATTATTCTTTGAATAAAATGCTTCAAGGGTTTAAAACGCGATATATAGTAGTTAAAATTATTTATGACCACAGCTGCATCACAGAACACAGATTCGTAACATCGGGCCGTAGTTTAAATAATTTTCAAATAAGTTTAAATAATGTACCTATATTGTGTTTTAAACTGTTAAAGTGTTTTATTTAAATGTGAACTTCTCGCGTAAACTACAGACAGATTATAGGCGGATGTTGTTTGCCACTTAAGTGTACCCTTTAGCTCCTTTCGGTCGGGCAGGGAACAGGACTATTTTCCTGGCATCTATTGGATACAGGCATAGAAGTATGTCTGGTTATGCCTATATATAAGAAAAAGATGATTTCTGTTTTATTGGGCAATTTAAACCATCAGAAGTTGAAATACTGTGTAGCCAAACTCAAAGTCAACGTTTCAAACGGATTTTGTAGTGCGTAAATTATACTTTTCTACCGCGACCCTACGCCATACAAAACCTGCAATTAAAATTAATTATTCAACAACATCATTTGATGATAATTGATCCTCTTTGTAATGTTCGACAGTGCTTAATTCTGTCCTCGTGTAACTCATTATTATGTATATTTAGTCTTCACAATGATAAAATGCGTTTTTAACTCAAAGTTAATATTTTGAGTACTGAATGAACTATGCATACAAAGTTCACTTTTTTAGGAAAAAAAAACAAGTAAATAATTATAGAAAAAAGTTCTTCACAGGGAGAGGGAACAAATCTCTACTAGAGACTAAACAACCTCATTACAACACTATTACATAAAAAGTCCGTTGTATCCATGTAAGGTGGATTCGATTCCCACAAGATCAAACATGTTTCAAAAATACATTTGCTATTCTTCTGAAACCTGTTAAACTTGATTGAAAAGTCTGCATTATAAATGGCTTTTAGGAAATCGAAATTTCGTCCGGGTCATCCATCACCGTCCACAGATGGAAAAGCCGTCGAGTTTGATCGCCTATGCGTGTACCTGTGCATTTCTAAATATCATACTCTCTATTCTATTCTCAACGTCCTAAATATCGTAAGCCGAAATAGGTCGATAGCGCATTTTATTCCATGTTATAGCCGTAGCCCATGGCTAGGGCTATACTTTCTATCAAGTCAACTCGCGCTTGTCTGTTTTAAAAACAAACAAAACCAAAAAAAATCGTTTGAAGTTATACGGAATTTACATCGTATGTATAGTCAAAGATTACGGAGGAAACGCGAATTCATACTTTACATAATTCTATTATATATTCGCCTTTAGAACACAGATTTTGTATGCTAAATGCGAGAATAAATTATTTCGTCATTCAATTTTTCAAAAATGCATAAGTAAATACTGGCTGTAGTATAACTTAGTAGTACACATTTGAATAAACATTTTAACAGTTTTAAACTCAATATATATATAGTTAAACTTGTTTGAAAATTATTTCAACTACTGCCCGACGTTTCGGATGCTTTGCAGCAGCCGTGATCACGGGGAGACGTTTAAAACCGTTTCGCGTTTTAAGCCGTTAAAGTGTTATATTTCAATGAGTACTACTCACATAGCCACGGGGGTGTCTCCCAGTGACAACGGCTGCACGTTTTAAATCGTTGAAGTGTTTTATTTGAATGAATAAGTAATGCAAGTCGCGATGCAACATAGAATTATAAAGTGTAACACGACCTCGGTTCCATCCCAAAGGAGCTCTTGTAAGTACATTTTAATGACCTCTTGCCTAACCTTGCTTTACATAAGTGCAAGAGCACTTGTTTAGCCTCTTTACGAGAGAGGTTGATACATAATCTCGATAATACGTGCCATTAAGATTTTCACATGTCGAAATGGACCTCTCGTTCGTTTTGGCCCATTTCCAACTTTGATTTCTAAACATTAGTAGCTATCTTTAATCGATGTGGAGTGGATATGAACTACGCTATTTCTCAAAAATTAATAATCTCAGATATTGAATCATATTACTTAGTTGTTGAGTATAATTAAAGTGTACAGTAATTTCGTAGAATTTTCATAATTTCACTAGACCGTCAAAAACATAAGAATTGCTTTCTTGCACGAGAAATACTGGCGTATTTTGAACGACAAAAACATGTTACGTTTAAGCATAATTTTGACAATGTATGGCGTTTCAGATAACTACTGTTTAGTTGACTGTTTGTTTTTAAAGCAACGTTGTTTTTTTAGTTCGAATTTTATTACAATACACAGTGTTAGGAACATTCGTTAAGATCTTTTTTTATTAAAAACGTCCATTGTAAAATAACGTTTCTCGAATACAAAGTAATGTCAATCAATAAAAATATGTATAATATTTTGTGTCGATCGCGGTTGAATATATAATTATAGCAAGTAGGACCTTGATAAAACAATTTAGATAGTTTTATTCAAATCGTTAGGCATTTAACATGTTTTATTGCATGTAAAATATTCACATGCGATTTCATTTCATACTGCGACGATAAAAGTTTAAATACAAAAGTCCATATCAACAATTTGAACCTTTAACAGTCCACATATTTAAATTTACTACCTTGTTGATTATTGGTATAAGTATACTGAACTATAGATCTCTAGATCCGGTGTTCGAATCCGGATCGGGTACGCTAGTACTAGTTCGCTTTTCTCCTTAGATTTGGACGTTTCTAATATCAGTACAAAATTTAAAATTATATCTTATCACCCCCTTTTTTCTTGCGATCTTGGTCTTTTTTCCTATCATCAATAAAAAATGTCATTTAATTGTCATTAAACTTTTTTAAATACATTTTTTGTTCGAAGTTAGCAATTCATGATGATAGTTTTAAAGCAACAAAATCAACACTAACAGCGTTTTAGCTCTCCAGACTTGCAGATTAATGGGTCGTTGTTGTAACCTATAATATTTTAAGCTTTAATTTTTTTTAAGGAACCTACTTCCTGCTGTACGACTTTCTCGACTACTTCGAAAAGGATGGCCCCAGTTTTCTGCAGCGAGAGAAATTTTTGGAGATCATCGATACAATCTTTAAGGAGTTCTCCAAGATAAAGAGGGAAGCTATCGTGTTTCAAGTAAGTGACGTTTTTATATACAAATTGACATCTTATTTCTTATGCGTCTAATTGTATTGTTGGCATGTTCTTAAGTTTCTTGACATCAGAAACAAAATGAGGACATCCTATTTGAAATTACTTCCAATAATGACATTCGTCTTTCCTTCTTAACCTGTCTGTAATTTTACACTTGTGAGTTATATGTTTATGCGTCTAATGACATATACTACTAATATTTACTGTAAAATATGACAGCTACGACTATAATACATTTTTAGGCAAAAGTAATAAATTAATTTGATTTATGGTGTCCTCAATTTATAACGACGTAATAAACATTAAAAGTAAAGACGGGAAACTTTAAAATTATTTTACGATAAGTAGAAATAAAAAACACTTTAATTTATTAAATATTAAATAAGAATAAAGCATTAAGTAATATCTATAGAAGATATATTCTTTGATTAAAAATTGGTTTTAACATAGTAGTCTTGATTTAAACAATGAAGATTGAAGTATTTTTAGAAATATTGTGAGCACAAGCGGATCTCGAGTCAAAAAGAGTCATCTAATATACGTTTCTTTTTATATATAATCTCCAATAGAGCCTATACAAGTGGAATAAATGTGTTTGGAAATAAAGATCTGACAATTTATATACACAGTACACCGACTGGGAAGAAATTACCGACGGGTACTTGAACCAGAAGATGATCGCAGACGTAGTGGGTGATTACTTCTTCGTCTGCCCGACAAATTACTTCGCAGAAGTTCTCGCCGACGCCGAAGTTGATGTCTACTATTATTACTTTACACACGTAAGTTATTGTTTGCTACCAGCTTTTATTGCCCTATAATTGGCTTGATATATAATTCGGTTTTTATATGAGCACATTTTTCAAAAACATGATACAATACAACAAAGAGTTTCGTTCACATGTATAATATATTTAATTGAAACTATTTTAATACAAGTAAATTCTATAGCCTCATTATTATACTAGCTGTGCCCGCGACTTCGTTAGTGTGGAATAGTTAATTTGGGCATCAAAGACAATTTTGTTCACATTTCATTAAATAATCAATGACACTTTGATTTGAAGAAAGATTATTATTACTACGTTAATACTAGTCTAACAAATAGTTAAACAATAACTAATTAGCAAATAAATAATGCATTGTTGTCGTCCAAATTTGATTACTTTAAAAACGGTTTTTAAAAGTTAATCTTTTAAGAAGTACAGTCTTTTAATGATGACAGACTTTAAATGCTGTACCTACAGTCGTGGACATTTTTTTAAGATCATTTAAAAATGAATTATTTTATTACATATTTTTTTGGTTACTGGAACTCAACGGACAACAGGAACAGACATATTTTTTTAATTTAAACCATTAGTTCTTGTTCTAATATAGATAGCCAAGTGGTCTTTTTTAAATCGTAAACCAAACAATAATTATTTGAAATATATTTTATTATTTATTTATTTTAGATGATATTGCTCACGTTATGTACTTTATTAGTTAGATAAGATATGTAGAGCGCAAAGTTCTAGTTTGTTGCTTTTCCTAAGCAATTTGAAAAAAATGGATCGCGATACTTCCAAATTAATTTTTAATTCATAAAGCCACCGTTGAGTACAAAATCAATTTAGTTGTGTATTGGCCTAATATTCATATTTCACGTGGAACGTTGGGTCACCGCCAAGAGTCTATTAAATATTTAAGAGCCACTTCGGCGACTTTACCGAACTAAAGCCGATTTTATTATTCTTTAATGTGGATCTGCTAGACAGTTTATCTTAGAAATAATCGATAAGAATTGAGTACTTCTAAGAAAATAATGAAGGTTGGACATTTTTCCGAGAACTTCATTTAACACGAGAAAGACTATTTATTACAATTTCTAACTTCACAAGTCCTAGATTTGATTACGACGGAAAAATACTAAGACGAATTACCAATATTTAGTTTAATTACCATACCGAAAAACCAATAACTAGATGTAACCTAAGCACAGTACTTGGAACTATAGGTAAAAGTTGTCATGTATTCCCAATATATAAATTAATAAAAAAATAAAAAAATAAACTTAAAATAATAACGTTGTTCTGTACAATATATTTTCCAATATAATTGTATATTTGAAAACTTTAATAATATTAAATCGATTTATAATCTATACTACTACATAAAGCTGAAGTTTGTTTATTTGTACGCGCTAACCTCAGGAAGTACTGGCTCGAATTGAAAAGATATTTTTGTGTTGGTTAGGACATTTATCGAGATAGGCTATGGCCTAAAAACATCGCGCTGCTGCAACTAATGGGAGTGAAAAGACACCAACGATAAAGAAAAAAGGAAGGTTAAACACTGTCTATAGTTTACGCGAGTAGTACACATTTAAATAAAACACTTTAACGATTTAAAACACGATATATTAGTTAAACTTATTTGAAAACGATTTTTAACTTCGGCCCGACGTTTTGGATGCTTTGCAGCAGTCGTGGTCATGGCGTGGTCCCTGGCACAGCTAGTTGTGTTATAAAAAATAATAGAAACTTACGCTCGAACTTAAATAATAGCATTTTCGAGTTAACAGTGTAAACTTAATTTAAAACGCAACGAACTCGGTGCAGATCGGATCGTCAACTCCTCTTATAGCACACGTCTATAAAAAACTCAAAGGCTTTTCTGCGAAGACCATCTTGGAACGGCAAACCGGTACTAACACGTTAATTTGGGTAACGAACCAAACTAAAGGGCGCTCATACCAGCCGCTCGGCTACGTTTGCTTTTTACCGGAACGGACTGCGTCAAAGGAATACTTTGATGCCTCTTCGGAAATTCATTTTGGTTTTAATCGGGTAATTTCAAGTGATTAGATATGGTTTTAGGAATGTCGCGCCAGTACTTAGTAACAAAACCTTTAATTTATAATAATATTTCACTTGATCTGGCATTAGAAAATCTCTTTGAGAACTCGAAAGAAAATATAATTTAAATAAAAAAAGTTGATTCCTAAACTACCCTACGTCAGTATTGTGCGGCAAGGCTGCTTCAATTGCTGTTACGTGATAGACATCGAACATGTCTTGATTCTTTTATAATTGTATAAAAAGTATACATGTTATAAGCTATTCAAATATAGTATTTTGTGTAAAAAATAAAGAAAACATATACATATGAAAATCTTTTCTTGCGAAAAACATCCATTCATACAAACGTTGATATTAAAATATTTACTAGATTCTTTAAAAAACGTATATTTCAAACATTTATTTTGTTTTAGTTTCAGAATATATTTACTTGGTATAATTTTTAGTTTTACTAGCCTTTTAAAGCACATTTTAAAATCTAAGCCAGCTATGCACCTACAATGCAACGTGTCGCCATTGTTAGCCATGTCTAGCCTTGAGTGTTCTCCCTTTGTTACTTAATTCAGCTGAGTAACTCTGGCACTTCCTATACTTCTATATGACTTCTGGAAAATATTACGATCGCTTTATATTATCCCAGCTAACCTGGCAAACATTATTTTGTCCTGTCTAGAAGTAAGTCTTGTCATTTCGACGAAATTCTTGTGCGTTAATCTTAACAGATAGACTTATACTGACGCGTAGATTTTTAAGATTATTTAAAGAGTAATAAGTATATACATATTTTTGGGTGAATGATTTTCCCCATATTTTCCATTTTCCCCATATTAGCCTAAAGCAATCCACGATAAATGGGTTTGAACCCAGACAAAAATAATTTTTCAATTCGAATCCAGTAGTTTTTAGGGTTAGCGCTATAAACTAACAAACAAACTCTTCAGCTTTATAATATATATACGTAGCAACGATTCATTTCCTACACTATTTTCTCGTTTGTTATACTGTGGATATAGTTGATATGTCATATTTTTCATGACAGGCGTTGGGGTCCATTTAATGGAAGGGGAATCCTATAACATCTTATGAAGAATATATGTTTGTAATATTTTGTACGGTCACCGTTTTCTTTTTATTTATATATTGTTTTAAGTAAGAAGATAGAACATAAAATTAATTGGCAATCGAGAAATGCTTCCAAAAGAAACTAGTTACATTATGCGAACAAAAAACGCGCAACCATTAAGGTTTAATCCGAACAAAATGAGATAAATGTGCGGCAATAAATCAAAAGGCTAGTGGGGGTGGCCTCAGTGGTGATTTATCAGATATATACTTATAGGTCGGAAGGAAAAGACTTTACAAAAAAAATTGGTTCAGTTTCATGCTTGAAAATCGTTTTGTGCTAAATTTTAGCTTACATTATTTTTAGTGGTGACATGTTTTATAACATAATATAAAATAAAAAAAATATGATATCTAAGTGGCAGCGATGTATATCTCATAAGTACTAAATTGTTATATAGTAATTGTAAAGAAGTTATCTTAATCCTCGATCACTTTTATCCTTATCACAGATCATGTATTTTCTACTTTTATAAGAAACATGGGGCAATATTATCGAATTGGATACACAGCCCCAGAAAGGCAAAGGTCACCAGATTAACAAGCTATTTCCAGACATGACCCAAACCTATTCCACTTCCATTTCACTAATTTTGTTCAAGGCATAATGGTATCAAATACAAATTTAACACTAATATCTATTAAGTGGTCGTGATTAGAGGTGCAAATTTTCATAGATAATGCAAATATTTTTAATGCATAGTAAAAGTACACATTAGAAGGATGGAAAGTAACATAGATTTAAACGGTTTAAAACGCGATATATTAGTTAGTAACTAATATAATTAAAGTGTTTTATTTAAACTTGTACTACTCGCGTAAACTATAAACCGTATTTTACATAGATTACATTAATTAAATTGATTCCCAAGGGTACCTCTAAATTTTTGTAAGTTATTTATTATTTCTTATTGCCTTCTATTGTATGCTGATTGAACTGTAAAACCTATAGATATAAGATTTTTTTAAATTTTAAAATAATAAAAAAATTAATTTAAGAGCAACGGAAAGCTGACGATGCCGGTTCAAGTCTTGCCCGAGTCGAAATGTTTTTTCCATTTATTTTCGATATTTAAATTATATAGTGCCTTCATGTGCAATAACATGTCAAAGCATAAAAGTTTTCAAATAATAATTATACTTTTAATATCACTTTATTATATATTATGTCTTCGTTAATGTAACATATATAAAATAATTCATCAAGTAGAGACAGACGCTTATAATACGCATATATCGTAATTATCTTACCAAAACACTACAGAATTTAATTCACCGCATAAAAAAGCTGCGACAAAACCCGTGAAAAAATATTTTAATCCCGAGGAAAAAATTCCTGCAAAGCGAACATGATGCAGACTAAAAATGAAGCTTAAAAGCGCTTTTACTTCTACACGGCTGTATCTCTAGAGAACTGTTCCACATTTCGTCTCCATTTTGATAAGATCTTCAAGATTGAATACATAATGTGATGCATGTAGAATATCTACAAAGACAAAAATTCCGTTGTATTGAAAATTCCCTTTGGCTTGTCTTCTCCGTTACTTTACTGTCATTGAATATTTATTCCTATTTAATATAGATTTAAATTCTACAAACGATATGGACGTACCTTTATTTTATATTCTTTTTACACAAAGATGGCGAGGCAGTAAGTCCAGTAAGTGTACCTACACATAACATGTTTCATCAACTTAGATAAAATAAATGTTATAGGTCAAAATGTATAGAGGTAAAAGAGTGTTCTTAAATTAAAAATCTATGTAGATTGAATCCATTTGAGCTCTAACCAATTAAGCTACCATGTCCTAGCACAGGATACGGTGGTTCTATTGGTTAAAACAGCACATAACGCTGTGGACGCCGGTTCATGTTACGCCCGTGTCTTTTTTCTTCAATCAAAATAAATTCTTAGTTTATATAATGGCATCATGTGTAATATTAAAGTTTTCACAGTGGTCTTGTTAACATATATCGACTATATTGTTAACTACAATATTTATTGTAACAAAAACATGCGAAACATTCTAAAACTTTTAAATATACAACATAGTAGATAAACCCATCCGTTATTTCCTTCTTCATGACGACAACTACACAATTTGCTGCAAGACAGATGACATTACGTGGGCGCCCAGTCTACTGAACTACATAATATTCTTTGACCTTTACGTATATCAAATGGATGTTACGTTTGAACATAACGTACCCGCACCGTACATCAAAGACATGCATTATTAAACAGACCTTGCCAAGCGAAGCTTTTAATTTTAATTCTTCAGCAATTTGGGCGGCCCGCAAAGCGTTACCCACTTTTAATTTACAGCAGCGCGGAGGCCATTAAAAAACAATTCCGCGATACAATTTCCCCAACGGTTGCAAGATTGGCTTTGTGTTATCAAAGATTTTATGGCCAAAATTGACTGATTTGATTTTAAGAGACTGATAAGATTTTATAAAGCGAAACAAACCTTTACATGATCTTAGAATTGGCAAGTACGTTCTTTTACATACACGGCTTGTAAAGCGCAAATCCTGAGTTCGAATCCCACGATAAAGCTTTCATCATCGGTCACAGATGTCGAATTGCCTTACCTTTTATATTAAAAGCTACTAGCAGTAACATGGACACAGTTCTGTGGCTACACTCTAAGGAACACACATATTTAACGACTCCCTTGAGTTATCAAGACATATGAAGGCAATTTATTTCATGACAGTAATTTAACATTTATAGCGCACCAGCACCAGTCTTTGGGGTGAATGGATGGGTGTGATGCATGGTGATGAAATGGAATACGTCTTCGGGCACCCCCTGAATATGTCCTTACAATATCATACCAGGGAACGAGACCTTGCTGCCCATATCATGCAGTCCTTCACGAGATTTGCTCTTACTGGGTAAGTGATATTTTACATAATATTACAGGATAATATTATTTCTAGTTATTTACAAAAAATATATATTATTATCTTATAAACTATAAAGATATTATTAACTACTTCTTTACGCGAATAGTACACATTTAAATAATACGCTTTTAATGGTTTAAAATGCGGTATATATTAGATATATTTTTTATGATATGATACATTCGGCCCGACGTTTTGGCTACTTTGCAGCAGCATGGATGGCGAACCAAAGATGGGTAGAGTATGTAAAGTCAAATCTGCTACGCTGCTGCAAACAGATTGCGCTAGCGTTTTAAACGTGTTTTATTTAATAATACTGTAGATATTGAAAAGGTAAACTAAAGATCACCTAGCGTTGTCTATAGGATATCCAGGCGCTACTAAAGACAACCAGCAACACAAATTCTACAGAAAAAATGTAGATTTTGTGTTATTATTAATATTTAGTAATTAGTAATCATTATTGCTTATGTAATTATGAAGTATAGTTACAATTTCCTCTTATTTTTAATCATATAACGTAAAATAAAATGTAGGTACACGTTGGTAAAAACAACTATCGTTCTATCATAAATCAGATTTACAACAGAATGAGAGGCTACCATATATTTTTTGCATCAGTGAATGATATCTTAATAGCAAAAACTTGACTCCAGGAAACCTCACAAACCGGACGAGAAGTGGCCCCTGTACTCCCGGTCATCGCCCCACTATTACACATACACCGCGGACGGCACGAGCGGCCCAGCCGGCCCGAGAGGACCACGTGCGTCCGCTTGCGCGTTCTGGAATGATTTCCTTCTGAAGCTTGATGGTAATTGTTAAAAGAACGAACTATCACTTAGAACGACTGAGTCGTTTGTATAAGCAATTTATAGCTAATATTCAATTTACAATTTTTCTGAAGCATCGTCTGAAAATCTGACTGGATGGGAATATGGAAATTCCGTCCAGGTTTAACCGCATTTCAGTTTAGTGAGATTTCCGAATATCCAAAGTCAAAACAGGTCGACAGCGCATCTTGTTTAGATGTGATAGGACTTTGGTATTTCACCTTCCGATTAGTGAACCTTAGCTTTGCTTTAACAAAAAAAATAACCTACACAATTAACACATTCGTTGCCATTATAACTTACAAATATTATGTTATTGATAGTTACAACGAAAGTGAACGAACCTACAGATATAGAATATTTTGCAAATATGGGAAATATTCCCGATTTTTTTATTGACAGGTTCACGTGTCAAAACAATTAAACAACTAGGTCTGACACTTCACTTAAATTTTAGTGTTTCAAATACACATAAAAATAATATGGAAGAAATTTTCAACTATTATTACCAACCGAACTCCTACTAATATTTATCGAATTATTTGAATAATTCCCAAAGTCTAAATTATATGAGAAATGGTATTAAAATAGTGTTGTACCAAGCTGCATAATTAAGATCAGTTTCGTGCCACGTTTCCACAATGGCCCTCTTGTGTTGACGTAATATATTATTCTTTATTCAGTCTCGTTAGTGACCTTTGTTGTAATCCAAAAATGTTTCTAGAGAATTTTACTTTGCTTAAAAAGATTTGCCCTAGTGAAAATTTGGGAAGTTAAATTGTTTTTTAAATAAACTGAAGTTAAGTACTGTCTACAGTTTACGTGAATAGTTTACACATTTATAAAAAAACCTTTACCATTTTAAAACGCAAAATATAATAGTCAAACTTATTTTTTATTTATTTTATATTATACGACGGTCGAACGGTATCCAGCAGCCTTGGCTACGAGAGAACTGGAAATGGAAGGTGTTCCTAATGTCGAAGTAAAATCTGCTACGCTAGCGCCATCTGTTTCCTACTAATTGTTATCCTAACTAATATTATAAACGTGAAAGTTTGTATGTGTGGAAGTATGTTTGTTACTCTTTCACGCAAAACTACTCAATGAATTTCAATTAAACTTTCCAATAATATAGTTTATACATCAGAATAACACATAGGCAACGATTTATAAAGATATTGTGTGAGCTGTCCAAAATAATGACATTAAGTGTCAAGTAACTAGAAAAAAATCTACATTTCAGCGAGTTATTTTGGCATGCGCTTCCATAAACGTTAGTTACACATAAATATACATATGTAATGTATGATATGATAGACATCTACGTAAGACTACGTAATTCTTATCCTAATACTCAGTAGACGAAGTCGCAGGCATCTGTTAGTAGGTATATATATATATGAGATAATATGTTAATAAAACCGACGAACAACACGGACGTATAAATACATCTTTCCACACAAAGTAAAAAGGATTTAATACTTATACAGTGTAGTAGTATTTGCCTGCGCTTTTCCCGTTAAAAGAAAATATTATGGCGGTTTTTTATGATAAAGGAGGACAGACAAAAGAATGTAAAATACCCAAGCGATATAACATCTTAACTAAAAGCACTGTCTACCTATTTTGCCTTCGGATATTCGTTTTTCTCGTGATCTTCTCCTGAAATTTTTAAAACCACAAATTCTATTACATGTGTCATCTACTGATATGCTTTTACATAGGTATCTTAGTACACGAAGCCCATTCTCTTATAAAGGAGACCTAGGCATGTTTGACAAGTAACGAGTTTAGTAACACGTTTCATGTATAATTTCAGAGTTGGAGCACGTGCCATGCGATGGAGCGGTAACAGGGCCCTACAGTAGCGTGGCGGGCACAACCCTACCTATTGTGCTACTAACTACCCTCGCTACATCAGCAGCTCTTTAAATGTACAGCACACATTAGGCACAAAGTAGAAGATGTTCGTAAGTCACCGTACACCTAGCAGTGATCTTACGTAAGATTAGTTTGAACGGATCTCGTATTGACAAAGTGAAGCCAAATTACACATAGATGTAGACTTCGCTTTTTAAATATAGAATGTTTTCTATTAGGCTGTGGTCTCCTTTAAATGCGTTCATCTGTAAAAGCATTGTCAAATTCGACATTTCAAAGATATAATAAGATATAATAGCTAAGTATGAGACCACGGCGTTTCGAAATATGTCAATTAGACACGGTTTGTAGACAAACTATTGCTTTTCGATGTCTATATATATATGGACGTTAGAATTTATGTTAATTCCACGTGGTACATACAAAAGCCTATACGGAATAATGAATCCTAAATATTTAGCACGCAATGAGCTTTCTTAATAGACTCATTCTATACAAAAACACTTAAATATAATGCAAAATAGATAGTACATAGTTATATGTTGTAAATTATCCTACTGTAGAACATAGGAAGTATGTAAATCGGTATTCGGTGTATGTTTAGAAAGATATATGTGAGCTTTAATTGTTAAGAGGTAGCTCCGCTTTCACACGAAATATATCACTATACATATCAATGTGTGCCTCTGCTTTTAATAGCAATTGATACATATCGTAATTGTAGCGAAATTTTAGAGTTTTGTATTTAAAAAGAAAAACATAGTATATAAAAAATATAATGCGACATAAATTTTTACCAATATATTTACATCTATTTAGGATGCTATCAACTTATACCACTTGAAAATCTTATGAACTCTAAAATCTTATGACTTTGACGAGATAATATTGTATTTTGTAAATAATCTTCCATCTAGATCGCTTTACTCCGATCGAAAACCAAACATATCATGACACGGGGAGCTATAAGCCGAGCGTAGATGACGTGTTCTTTAGTATCTAGCACTTTTCTGCAACGACTTGATAAATGCTACAATATAGGAATATTTTGATTCCATGTAGATCTCCTAGTGGAAGCCATTATAATGTATAAATGTTCTATTTTGTGATGAAACAAATGACAAGCTTGTTAAAACTACCCACCTAATGTAATATTATTTTGAACTAAATTCGATGTTTAAATTTATATTGTATGCATTGTTAATTCGAGAAATAACCATGTCAAATTGAAACAAATGTTTCTGTTATATGCATATCTTTTCGCAGAATACCTTTCATTTATATAAATGGAATTCCACTATTTGACACCCATATATGTCTAGGCATATGTGTGCGTTATTCAATAGGTAACAAACATAACGTGTAAATTAATGCTTTAAGTGGAAATCATCTTATGAATTTAGTAAAAATTGAACAAAATATTTATAATATAAATCTTTAGCGATAGCATATATTTATACCTATGTATAGGTATGTCAATTACTATCCTCGAATCGTTAGAAATAATATCTTGCGCTGCAATATGTATCCTATATCTACATTTGTACGAAATTGTAATATTTTTATAATTGGAAATCATTATAAATCATATTATAGTAAATTCATTGAACCTGTTTAAGGACAATCGTTGTGTGTAACGCTTAAAACTATGCGTTTTATACTGTCGCTTATTAAATAATGTTTGTAGTGTAAAAAATATCTTAATAGCTAACCAATAAATGTGAACGTTAGAAATATCACTGTTCTTAAACGCACTAAATTTCTGTTGAACAAAATAACAAAACCTCTATTTATTCAGTATGATTTTCATAGAATAGCAAATATTTTTTTAATGTATTATGTTTCCTAAGAAGTAATTCAATTAAAAAGAAATAGCACGTTTGCTTTTAATATAACAGAGCACCTCGATTTATGAAATTGTCTGGGATAGCTTTAATTAGTCGAACGTTAAGAGAACTTGTAAAATTGTAGCTTAACTCTTGACTACAATAGTTACTCTAGCCATATTAAAATATCATAATATTAGTTCTGTTTTATTTTCCTTTTTGTTACGGTCTTAGTCATTTTTCTTTTTCTGTCTTTCTTACACGCCCTACCATCTTCTACCGGCTTTAAAATTATTTATATAGCTATTAGTAAATTATACTTGATATATATATTTGAGACTATTAATTTTTAAGTAGTCTTGATGTTTGCTGGAAACAAGTCTTTGTCATACGATTAGTCATACGAATGAAAACTCAGTAACATGTTGGTTTTTTTTTACAGTTAATATTATTAATGTAGCATACAAATATATTTCATTTATTTCTTGCTATGAATCTAAGATAACATATGTTCGTACTCCTACGTAGTTTTGTGTATTTTATAACTTAGGTTCTTTTTATATAAATCACCAACTACTATTAGAATTGCGCTTAAATATATATGTATCAGAAAGCCTAAAAACTTATTGATACATAAAGATTAGATGTCAAAAGAAAAATATTATTCACAGGCTAAAAGTCGTTACTATCATATTTTCATAAATAGTGAATAGGTAAAACTTATTATATATTTTGTATTTATTAAAAAATATTATATTGTTTTCTAATATCAATTTTTAGGTCTCGTCACGGCATCATCTTGCATGTTGTTTCAATATGCAAATGGCAGTACGTATTTCACAGCTCTAAGACTGAAAAAAAAACAACTAATCATTATTTTTATCCCAATTCTATTGAAGTTATTATGTTCTGTGTGTTTATTTAAAAAGGAACAATGATATGTCTCATTTAAATCAAAAATAATGGCGATCTTTTGTATGCTACTGACTTTAATCTTGACTTCGGTTACTTCAACTGTTATAACCAAGTTAACTAACTCCACATTAGTAACTGTATTAACTTCTTATTAATGTGATAAGGAAAAAATGGCTCTTGGTACTAGCTAGAACTATAGGCTGTTAAAATTATTTTTATTACGTCCAACAGATGTTAAAATTCAGTAGTGATCTTTTTAATGAAATATAAATTTTACCAGCCACTAAATATTAAATCGGTCAACAAATATATGTTTTCTTATTATTCAAACTATAAATAACTAAATACCAGTAGATAGTATGGCTCTTAGGCATCGCTTTACTAATTAGGTGCTAAATGTATACATAGAAGTGCACTGTAATCTTCTTCTTCCTTTAAAACAGAAATGCAAATGACGTCGACAATATCAGTTCCACTAAATGAAGAATCGCTTTATCATGTTGTATTGTTCAAGCTTTCTTTGTGAGTTAGTTCGTTTATATTGTACAGAATAATTGTTACTTTAGACGTGTAATTTAGTGCTTATAGTCCGTGCGCAATTATAACCTTTTTATTAAAAATGTATTATGATATCTATTAAAATATAATATATTTATTTGAATTCTTAATAACCCACAACTGGGCACAAGTATTGGGCTCTCGTAAGAGAGCGAACATGTTGCTCCAGTGCAGGTTGGTGGGTGCTTACAGTTAACGCAACTAAAATTAATGTTGAAAGATTTAGAATTCTTGTATTAAATATGTTTAAAGTGTAAAGCAGTTCTGTTCTAATTATTTTTAAAAGACTTCTCTCATATCTAAGAAGAGTTTGTATTGATATATAACGTGCGGACTTCCTGTAACTCGAACTACTAATATATGTCTGCAATAGTTACTGTATTCCTAAATTAGTTAAATAGTTTGTTTTGCACATAATGAAAGTTTAATTGATGGCCAATACATTTAATGTTTTTTAATTATTATCGTTAGCTGTTCCTAGGTTAGATTAATGCTTTATTTACTATTTGACTACTTACGGTATCAGATGTTAATTAATTAATAATTTTAATCAATTCAGTTGGTTTTATTTTCCTTATATCCTTTTCCATTGAATTTTACATCTACTGTCTCTCTGTTTAGGCGAGGAGTACAATTTCAAATAAAATATTTTGATTCGTAAAATATGTTGTGTTTCCCGTGAATTCTATTTAACGTTTTGGTAGAATGTTAAAAGTATTTATTTATTATATACATCGCGTTTTAAACTATTATACAAATTTTGCATCTAAAACTAAGTACGAGGAGACTGAAGGGGACGAATAAAGTGATATAATGAAATATATTAAGTTATTTTTACCCCAGGGATTGGAGGTACTACGTTAATGAATATCTATGTTCTCGGAAGGTTTTATTTTTTAGAGAAAATAAAAGAAATGAAATACACACAAATCTTTATTAATAAAAGAACTATCATAGGTACACATAGCGCATATATTCAATATACGACACAAGATGACTAGATTAAAATAGATATCAATCGTATATGTAATATTTAGTTCATTATACCTTTTTACCAAACTAAACGAATATTCATGCCGTTGTAACACAATGATGCACTTACGACGCCTTTTTTATATCTAAAAAAGAAACGATGTTTGACATGTTAATCATAAATTAATGAAAATAAACAAAGTTAAAGTTATAACTAAAAAGTACACCTTGATTATTTATTTAGGCTTGCTTAAATGTTTTTAAGTGTAATACATACACGTCAAACATGATCTCTTTTGGACGTCCGCTTATCTTCGTTTCAACCCGCTGCATAAGACTGAATGACAACGAAGCATAGTTAAAAAGAAATTAATAATTTCTTACATTTAAATTGTTTCCAATTTTATTTAACCGCGTTAATTCCACCTAAGTTGCAAGTAACACGTAAATACTAGACGAATTCTTGATATAGAAGGAGCTTATGTCAACATTTAAACTTCGTTTATTAAACAGATAAGATCAGCTTGGTCTATGTGTTCCATGGGGAGTGGGGAAAATTCTAAGGTGACGGAATTCTGGTAACGTCCACTGGACACCAGGCGGACTACGGTGTCTTCACAGGCGATGAAAGCAGGGCGACGGGCTGTAAAAGAATTGAGAACTGTGTCAGACATATGCGACTATTTTTCAATGCTATTTGGGTATACGTCGTTGGTACGGTCGTTGTAATTGAGAAATGGTTTTTGACGTCGAGAAATATTATGACAACCAAAAATATCTAAATCTCAGCTTAAGTTAGCTCAATAAAACCACTTATTTAAAAGATCTGACATCAATATCACGGTCCAACTGTATTCCACTCGCACTACACTCAAAAAGATGGGCTCCATTGTTACTTTTGCAAAAAATATAGAAAAAGTTAAAGTAAGTGAACATATAAGAAATATGTATTTCTATGTATAAATCTATGACTGATTAATAGTATATTTTTTTTATTTAAATATTGCCTGTTGGCTAAGCGAGGGGTAAACATTAAATAAAATCCATCCAATTAAACGCTAATTTACCGTGGCTGCTACGAATCTTATTTTATTCTTCTATATCACTAATATGCTTCGCGTTTTAAACTGTTAAAAGTACTAATATTGAAAATGAGTTCTTTATTTAATACCTAGTTACTCCGTTCAGTATTAAGGCACACTCAGGAAGTCTAATTGTCAATGCTATTGAACTTACTAAGTGCAAAGCTCCTAGGTTTTAGGGTCAATAGATGACTAGTGCGCTCTAGGCATGTTTCGCAAACAGTATGATAGTATGTAAGCAAACAAATGAGAAATAGTCTGCGTTCATTTATAGAATATTGAAAAGAGCGTAAAGGAACGGGAAGAGTGAGTCGTGAAAAAAAATATCATGTCTCTAATTACTATAATTACAACTTGCAGTTTCAGTAGAGAGTTTTTGACTTACTTGTATAGGTAGCTTATGTGTGTATGAGTATAAGTGTAGGCTCATGTTTAATATAAATGAATATCAATTAGAAATATATTTAACTTAGTCTGTATAGGTTTAATTTTATTTCCTCGTATGCCTGAGCTCGTTCGGGCTCGTTTTTGAACTCACTGTTAAAGCTATTTTATTTCAGAAGTTCAGAAGTTGCACTTCAAAAAAGGCATTAAAATAAAAGTCACTTTTCAAGTAAAAAATTTGAGATAATAATCATAATATCCAACATTCCATTTTGGGACTTTCAAAAGCAGATTTCCTGCTGTCAATTCTGCTACGAAAGATTGATGCGATGGAAAATTTTGTGTGGCTGTTCCCGGATTCTTGATCGGACATGAATGAAGGTATTTATTTTGTTTGTTCGGAATTCAAATATCTAGAACGTCTCGCGCTCTCTAACGCATTTAATATTCGAAGTATTTTTAATTTGTTGAAATAAAAAATATATAAAGCGTAAGTAAGGGTTGCTTATAATGCGTTGTTGTACGGTAAAGAAACTCCTTTCTTGTGTCTATAGACCGATTCTAATTAAATTTTACGTCCACGCCACTAAACAGACAACCTTTTAAGATTTTATTTACGTATCGAAAATGAGAGGCGAAGAGACAAGAATCGTTTGAAGCAGCTGCTATTGGAGCACTTAAGTATTTTTAAGCAAAATTTGTAGTAATTTATGATTACGTCACTCAGTTAAATCTTTTTTTAAAGACGAACCTTCTGTGATATTAATGTATCGTGATTTTATTATTTATCACGAATTTTTAAAAATATCTTCCGTATATTTATAATCAAAGTAGTTATTAATGTTATTTACGTAAGTATACCATTTAAATATATCACTTTTTACGGCTTAAAATGCGAAATTATTACTTGATTTTCACTAATAGATATCGCCGCCAACCGTTAAAAGTATTTACATTAAGTAACTTGTATCGTTGTCAATCCTTAATCATACATATATAAATAGTCATAACCAATATTTCATAACACTGTGATGAACACGAAAATATATTCGATTTTATTTACAGAGAAAAAGTTTATTAAAATTTGTGTCCAACCCGACCGAAACAATTTATTGTTTTCCCGGGACTTGAGCTCTGGAACTAATGCGCAACCAAGCAGCCCTACATTTTACAAACAACGCGATTTGCTTTTTTTATGAGAAGACCCTTTTTATTCTATATCATTGTGGTTTTCATGAACATTTTTAAAACAAATATGTTTTATTAATATTCTAACATAAACATCAATTCCGTTCGTTACTTCTGAAAAAGGTTTTGAATATAAACAGTAAAAATACAACGTTCTGTTTATGTTTGATAGAAAAGTTTCACCCAATTAACGTAGTAAGGATGAAAGTGGAAAGTATAAACAAGAATTTGTAGGTTTATTATTGTTATTTGCTTATGAGAGGGAAATATCAACCAATAACTTTATCGAACCATTATATGTACAATTACCTGATTGGTATTTGTATAATAAACTCAGTTTTATATAATGTCCATGACTGTCAAATCTCAAATGTTTTTTATTGCAAATAACTAGTAAGAGGTCTTATGTTTCCTAATTACATGTTACATAGGATTACTATTTTAATAAGTTGTAATAATAAAGTCAAAATATGACCTTCTTTCTGACCTAGGAAAGGGGGAGGTCGTTATTGCACTACAGACAATGTAAAAAAGTACAACTGGGAACAGGATAAGTGGAAATTAAACAATGAAACGGATACTGAAATGTGTGCGTTTTGCGTAATGTAAGAGTATCATAATATATTACTCGTATGTTTTCGCTTATAGTATTATATTTTAATAACAAAATTATTGTGCTATGTTGTAACGTTTAAGTCAACGATATTTATCATTAGAGAAGTATAAGTATCAACTATAATTAAACACAGTTTAAAGTTTTGGGTTCGTAAACCAGGGGATTGAAATATAATAATCTGGTTTAACTTAAACCTTAACTATATAATCTTAAATAGGAGTTAAGACGAATAAAAGTTACCTTCGTTAGAGTCGAGTCCACACACACTGTCGAATACTTCCATCCTCGTGTGGTCGAGGCCACTTGCCCCTCCAATGTCCACGAAGTCCAGCAAGCCACGCTTTGTGCACTAACAAACAAGCGCTTAATGTTTGAATAAGCACTAATTAGAGATCGCCAGTGTACTGAATAAGCAATTTAAAGTTACAGTTCCGACCATTTCGAAAAAAACATCATATTGTGAACTTGGCTAAATAAACGTAGTGTTTTATCAAATAAAATAAAGTATACTTTATTGAGATGACGGGCTCGTTGGGCTCGTTGGTCGTTGGTTGGTATGGATATTATTCAACGGGCCGCGGGTTCGATCCATACCGGGTGCAACATGTTGCTAATTTTTAAATGTATCATTTAACTGAAACATGTAATACTTCGTGTGGAAATCGCGTTTCGGTTCCAGTCTGTGGATTTCCGAATATCCAAAGCCAAAATAAGTCGACAACGCATCTTGTTTAAATGCTATAGACTGGGGTATATCACCTAACATCATTTGAACCCCATGATTGTTTGTTCTCCTCTATCATTAAAAAAAAACCTGCGACATACAGCTTAGTCCTCTTGTATACCAAAACGGTTTTATATACACGTAATTAAAAAAATAAAAACAGAATTGTGTCTGCAACTGTCAAAACTATTACTTATTCACTCTATATTATTTATCAGTATACCATGTGTTATTTACACAGTTAGTTATACAGTACAGGTAGTTAGTATACGTAAATTTGTGTAGTACGAGCTTGGAAAAATACAACTTGAAATAGGTAAATATATTTCAGCAAAATTCCTATTAAATGCAGGGTCTCTCGTGATTCTATTATTGCTTCGTTAGTCGTTCGTAATTACAACAATCACGTACAATAAAGGGTCCTTTCTCAATTAACGAAGTAGTAAAATTATTATCTTAAGATTTGAGACCTATTGCAGTATTTTACTTAATAAAGGTCATAGCAAATAGACTTAATTTTAAATCTAGGAAAAGTAAAATTTAATGTCTCAGCTAAATAAACAAGTATTTTAATTTCCGACAGCTTGGTTCTTTACAATATTTCAGTTACAGTCCGTCGCAATCTCGATTTACAGTGTTCTATTTTTAAACTCGATTTTAAAACGCTTTGAAGTTTGAAGTTTCCAATTTACTTACAACGTAAATGAATTTAGCCAACAGCTAAGCTGGAAGTTATTGCAAATAATTAAAAAGGTTTTATGTCAATATCAAAGTCAACATCTTAGTAATATAAGTACCTCTGTTATTATTATATTATTAATCATATCGATTATCAGAAGGTATAAACAAAAATATGAGACAAATTTGTATCTGTAGTCGCGCGGTGTTAAAAATTGTGATAATAAAATGACTAAATCACGTGGTCAAATTTTATAACAATAAATCGCTTTTATATTTATGTATTGTTTGTGATTACGGCCGCTGCACCGTCGAGTGGTAGTTAAAAAAAAGTAACTGATATATGTCGTCTTTTAAATCGTTACAAGTCTTTTTCTAAGCTCATTTATACTCGTTTGTATTAAAGATATGTTTGGCTATGGTTGACTCACTCTATGAATTGTCCCCGTCTCAATATTGAGTAATGTTCCCTTCTTAATAGTTTGGCCCACGTTTAAATCCAGAATGCGGACTGTGGTAGGGGAAATTGCGATTACAGAGCAGTTGCCAGCTTCACCGTGATTCCTAAGTGTGTACACCCCATCCGCGCCGAAAAGCATAAGGTTGCAAGCTGTGAAAATAAAATTAAACCGATATAAGAATTTACAAATATTAAACATTAAATCTGGTATTTAAGTATAAACGCTTATGTATTTGTGTCTCCATCGTTAGCTCGTTAAACTTTAAGCGAACTTCCGAGGCTAGGATTCTGACATTTTATGAAGCTTCTGGTCTTATTTTATTCCACGGCAGAAATTAAAAAATGCTCCATGGATATCAAACTCATGCTCTTCCGCATATAAATTTATTATTGAATGCTCATACTATTAAACCAACATAGCTTTCTGCTCCACTTGTTGTCGTTGAAATAAATTGGACAAAGCAGAATAATTGCTGAACATAATTCAATATATTCCCCTAAAAGTAATCATAGCGAAATCATTTCATCGCTGAAAGCAATTTGTGATACAAAGAAACTTATTACTTAATCTGATGTTATTTATAAACAGGACAAAAATAATAAATCTATAGCATTTAGCTGATATTTGGCACCTTTTTGGACAATAGGAACTTCTTTTCCCCATGTTATCAAGCTTAGAGAAAATGTGTAAGAGAAAAACATATCGACGATGTCATAGAATAAGGATCCAAAATGCTCAATGTTTATTGCGCTATATGTAAAACAAATCTAGTTTGATTTTTCGGTTACGTAAAAATTAAAATCGGCTGTATTTTCAATAATATTGTGAGGTAGCTTAAATAAATAAAATAAGGAATCTTAATTAATTGAACGTTTTGGAGGGTAGTTATAAAATGTCATTTACAATATGATGTTATTAGAATTAGTTTAAGTGTTTTGACAACAAACAATGCTACAAATTCAAAAGGAAGTTGGTACTCCAGGCTGAAATTGTGCATAAAAAATACCATAATAGTAATTATTGACTATAGTGAAGAATAGTTACAGTGTTAGAGTGGTCGTCTTACTTACGTCGTGGATTCTTCAAGTGACGTATCGTGACAGCGAATCCTTTTCCTTTCGCAGGAACCCGGTACTGTATAAGCGCAGCGTTCTGGTGAGACAATAGTTTATGCTGTGGTCTCCGATCACAAGATTCAACAACTCTGTCATCGTCCCAAGTATCTGCTGGCCAGACTTGGCCATTCAACTCCCATCCATCGATCCACTACAAAAATACAAATAAAAATTTCAAGAATAAACAATTCTATTACGTTATTTGGTCTTAAGACCTTGACAAACAAGTAGACGTATAGTAATTGAATATATGGCGTAGATGCAATGATATATTGTTATATATTTAAGTTGAAAAGTGCCTAACACATTATGTGTCTGTTGTTTACGCGAGTAGTACACATTTAAATAAAACACCTTAACACTTAAATTATATTATTTTAACTGCGGCGCGACATTTCGGAGGCTTTGCGTCTCCCCGTGACCACGGCTGTTGCAAAGCATCCCAGCCGTCGGGTCGTAGTTAAAATTATTTTAAAATAAGTTTAACTAATAAACGCCGCATTTTAAACTGTGAAAGTGTTTTATTTAAACATACTAGTGTCTGCAAAGCTACTTGCAATTAACGCTATAAATACTAGATCGACAAAAATCGAAACGTCGCGTCGCAAACATTTTTACATTATTCATAAAATCACATGTAGGAGATAATAGTAAATAAATATACTATATTATCTCTCAGTATTTATTCTGATACTAAAATAGAAAGAACATTATTTCTTTTGTCGTCCTGTACAAATGAAATGTCAAAGAGTGTATTGTGACAGTCAAATGAAGCGTTTAGTCCGCTTATACACTTCGGTGGATAATGAGACTAATTGCAATTAATTGATCTCAATTAGAGATGGCGTCATTTGAGGTAATCCATCGAGTTACGGACCCGTAGCTAACGAATGTTAAAGTATTTTCCGCTTCCGCTAAGTGCACACGGTGGCCATTCTTGTTTCTCTTTCACTGATGGAGATAATCTACATATAAGTAGATTTTTATGGAACCCGACCGTTTACGTGAGGTATAAATTCGGTCGGGCTGATTTTGCCAATGAGTCGAATCTATGACCTCTTGCGCTAATATGTACTATGGTAGACAACGCGTTTTACAAATGTTCCAACAAAGTGGAATAATAATAGGCAAGCACTATTAAAAATATTAACAAAGTATTATTAATAGCAGGCTTATATCTTGCCAACACAACGGGAAGGGTACAAATATAGTCGACTTTCTTTCGGTCTACGTGCGAGAAGATAACTTGTATTAAGGTTACATGTGTGTGTTTACTGTACAAAATTCTTAAAGAATAGACTGATATCTTATCATTCATCTTTAACAAAGTTTAGAACCTCTCGGTAAATAATTCGAACTAGGTTTCCAATATAAATATTATTAAATTCTCATCTCGATAATTCACAGTTCAAAGACTGGATCCATTATAAGATTAAATAACAATTTCAAGATTTCATTCAGTCCCCTGTGTCTTTAGGAATGAAATTTAGATTAAAACTACAAATACATTTTGTTGCGCACTGGTCGAAGAAAATCTTACGAGGATTAAGAAACAATCGCCACTTTCCTTTGGCACAGAAGTCAGTAAACTGTTTATGTATTTAAGCTTCCAAATATTAATTAGGTACACCCAAAGGGTGACAGAATCAAAAAAATCTCACGGAGAGAGCCAGATTGTTAAATGTCTAAAATTACAGTAAATTCTGTTTTTATGTAAAATTTAAGTTATTGTTACGTTAAGTAAATCCGATTCCTACATGGACATGGGATATATTTCTGTGTCGATTTTATGGATCGATATTATTTACAGCCAATTAACATTATTCAACCATATTATGACTAATAGTTAAAGGCATGGTTACACGATAGCTTGAAGTATTTTTAAATATTTCTCATTCTGAAACAGATGTATACATAAACAAAGAACAACACCTTTTTAATTATGTCGCAATATACAAAGTAAGCGAAAAGTTAAACATTACCGCCACAAGTCCGCCATTGTCGCACGGCACGTCAAGGTAGTTGAAAGTGACCTGGATTCTCTTATCAGGCTCCGTTATCATGTAGATACCGCACACCACTGGCTCGTCACTCGGCGACTTGAAGAATAGCTCCCCTTCTTCAGACGTTACCATGAAACAATCTATCGACGATACTTTTAATAAACAAAGCAGATCTGTTTATAAAGCTTTTATTTGACACTAGCTGTGTCGGCGACTTCGTCCGCGTAGAATACTTTTTAGTTTCTTCGCTCCAATTAGTCACAGCGCGATATTTTATAGCCTTTCTCGATAAATGCTCTAACCAATTCGAACCAATAGTTCCAGAGCGCGTTCCAACTAACAAACAAACTCTTCAGCTTTATATATGATTAGTATATAGTAAAATAACGCATAATAACGCAACAACCACAAAGCTTTCCTAAAAGTGTGACCAATCTTTACATACAAAATAATGTTTGAAAACTTTATTATTTTTTACATGTTATTTTGTAAATTCTTTTAAAATCAATTAATTAAACCATTACAAAAATTATTCCAATAGTAATAACATCACAATATGTTGGTAATTAACTTACTTTCTTCTTTAAACGTTAAAATATACGTTGTTTTTACTTATTCGATATCAAAGTAGCGTGTTGTTTGTAAATTTAATAAAAAAACATCTGCCATCGCGAACTTTAACAAAATTTAATCGTGATGTTATTGAATCTTGAAGGCAAATTTGCATATCTTTGCTTTAGTTTTAAATTGATTCAATCTATCGATGTGCGTGTTAAAGAATTTAATTATTGAAATAGTCTGAAAAATTATGTTCAAACGAGAGTACTATAAATTTATCAATAACTTTTAAAATCGTTGTTAACGTTTAATATCGGCGTATCAAGGAAGATAGATATCTTTTGAAGAATCTTGATGGAACATTAATAGGTGTATAGAATAGAGTTTCTTCTGAACTTAGTATTAAAACGTACCCTCATTGGGATCTATAACCCGGTGTGTAAGTAGAGGCAAACGTCGAACTCTTGAAAACCACGACAACGACGGAGATGCATCTCTTGAAGCGTACCGTAATCCCTGCAAAGTAATATCTCGTCAGTTCCGTTTAATAAAGATATTTTGCAGTAAGTTTCTTTTGAGATAAAAATAGATAGAGGTAGAAATAAATATAGACATACCTATCTGTCTGTAAAAATCTTTTTTAAAGTATTAATGTGGTATATGTTTATAGTTCATTTCGAGGGTTTATCTATGTTGATTTGATTTGAAATGTATGTTTTTTTTTGTCATAAAAATAATTAATTAAAACAGTTCGAGCCAACATTTGGCTGGGTCATTTTACCTTCTATTAATTGAACTCTGTGCTTTTCTGACCTCTATATTATACTTATAGCTATTATTTCGTAGTTTAAAACTCTATTTCCCCATTTTCACTAGTACACATTTATTTAATGCCACATAAAGGAGAAATCTTCAAGGGGATATTTCTTTATGGAAGCCGTAAATAACACACAATGCGCTAAGTCCACAGATAATATCAACGTGTATTTCAGCGACAATTGTAATTCATATACTCATTAGTTGTTTGGTAATGCTCTATACATATTTTGTAATTTCAAACTGTTTACCAGCTTTATAGTTACGAAATATAGATTTCAATATTTTGGTTTCAAATTGTATATAAGTAATAATCGTCATCTTGTGAAATCCCGATTCCACCTCGTAGGGGCATGGGACGAACACATTTCTGTATCCGTTTCACTAATTTTTAATAGGCAATTAGTTGATCAGACTTCTGTGCCTGACCGAAACAATTCTTTGTTTCCGTAGGATTCGAACCCAGGACCTCTCGCGCTTAACGCAATGCTAGGCAATACGTTTAACCATTTGGCTACAGAGGCGGTCAATCGTGTTCTTATTTACGTGATTTTCTGGTCTAATCAAGCGGTCTTCAATCGGTCTACTTAATTAAAAAGACCAATATCGTTTGTATAAAGCTGCTAAGCGTATGATTGTCAATGTTTATTAATAGATTTCATGTTTTTGTAAAATAACAATAGCAGAATAAAATAATAACGATATTAGTATTAGTAAAAAATATATGTAATTATATTTGTATTAATGGGTGTGTGAGTGTAATTTAGTGTATAATTTGAGTTTGTTGTAGATAAATAATATATACAGTAAAAGTAATTTAGTTTAGCAATATGAAAGAATGTGTATAGAGATTTTTTGAGTTAGCAACTCATATGTGTACATATACATCTAAATTCTGTCTGTAAATCTCAAAATTTGATAATAATCTTATAAGACGAAAAAAATCTTTCAACATACCTTTTTATTCATGGTTATCGTATTGTTCGCCTCTATAGCTAAATGGTTAAACGTGTCGCCTAGCATTGTGTTAAGTTCGATATATGGGGTCGAATCCCGAGAAAGAATAGATTAATTTAGGCGGTCAAGGCAGAGAAATCTGATCATCTACTTGTCTGTAAAAAAAAGCCTTCAGTGAAACGAACACACAAAAGTGTTCGTCCCATGTCCTATGGGGGAAACGGGATTCACTTTCCCTTTATCTAACTCATGTTTAAAATATTTTCTTGTTATATTTAAACAGATAAGCGTATTATACATATATTTTTAGTAAGCCGTCTGCACGACAAACAAATCGTATTTTCTAGAGATTACTTGGAAACATTCTTTACAGCATAGGTTTAGGCTTTATATTGAGTGAGCCTTAAGTAGATTCAATTCTAAGAAAATTTATTTGGAGTCGTATTCTATGTCGTAGAAATATAATGATGGTGAGGTTAAACATATGAAGCCTACTAAGCTGGATTTAGTAAAGGGTATAAAGAGAATGTGGACAAACGGAACGCCCTTTATGTGGAAATCCTTATGCTTTCTACTTAATTAGAAATTTGATATAAAATATATTTATAATGCCGAAAGACGAGGACGTGAAGGGTTTCAACCAGTTTGTAATCTAAGTTCTTTCATAAATAATTAATTCAATTAGTAATTTCTTTATAATTATTAAGTTTTTATCAGATTTCTAACAACATCGAACAAATGGTAGATGATTAGGACGAAGGTGTAGAAATACGATGATAATTTGTTAAAGTTTCTCTAGTCCATCTTTATACTCGTCAATTATAGTTCTTACCGACGACCTCGATCGCATCCCGTCATTCTTGGAAGTTAATCTTAAAAGATAGATTTGAAGAAGATTCAAACGTATTTTTTCATTTTTTGAACCGTTTTAGCAGCGCACGCAACAGAATTGAGGGCTTCTGTTGCGTGCGCTGCTATTGAAGTATTTTCTCCGTTTTTTCGGTGTTTTCTGTTTGTTCGTTCTTATTAGTGTCCAACTTACATAAACATTTGCCAATATCAACCAATAGTTCCTAAGATTAGCGCGTTCAAACAACAAACAATCAAAATCTAAAGCTTTTTAATTAGTATAAACTAAACGAGCAAATGTTACTGAGAACCCTCTCAGTAACATTTGCTCTTGGATTTTTAAAACTACATTCTATATTAAATAATAAGGTTATATATACTTCGATACATTGTCAGGAAGAATATTATAACATATTCACGCGTTTAATTAAACTTAAAGTTAGCGGCGTGAACTCTACATAAATTAGTTGGATTTCAAAGTTAAGCTACACCTATAAGATACGAGGTTACACAACTTTCGTAACCTTGTTTCGTTTCAAAAAGTTTATATTTGTGGTGTACATGTATTGTAATAGATCTGTTCTATACTATTATCTATGTCTATACATCCAAGGTCTTTATTTGCTTAAAGAAATATCTAGAAAAAGCTCTACGATACATCATCAATCACCCAACAGCATCCCGTGGATTCTTGACGTATTTTTTCTAAGTAGGCACCCTTGTTAAACTCCTAGAACCTGAGATTAATAATGTTTGCCCATGACATTTAGAACTTGCCTAAGTTATCGATACATGTTCGTATAATAGCTGTGTCACCGACGACTTTAAAGAGGAATCAAAAATGATTATATATTTTTTTGTGGTATCTTGAACCGTTTTCGCAGCGTACGCAACGGCAACCCACAAGTATTAATATTTCCCGCGTTGTCTACCTTTACGGCTGTTTCTTCGCTTCTATTAGTCTCAGGGCGATGTTTTATAGTTTAAAGCCTTACTCGAAAAATAATCTAATCAACACAACATTTTTCAATTCAAACGTTCCTGAGATTAGTGCGTTCAAACAAACAAACTGTTCAGCTTTATATATAAGTATATATTTCTATGATGTTAAAATAATCAACTTCTAACGACAACTCTATTTAATCTTTAACGATCGGTTAATTTTAATAAATCATTATTCCTTTTAAAATGGTCAAAAAGTAACTATTAAAACCTAAAGAATGTAATAGAGTTATTGTACATAATATTACCGTATACGATATTTGTGACTTTATTGGTTCTTAATTAGAAATAAATTAGCAGACATAGACGCTAATTAGTTAAGACAGGCGAATTTTAAACTTTTTATATGGCAACAATTTAATGAGATATTAATTAAGACACTCAGGGTTACTGTATAATATTCCTTTTTAATTAAATTGTTAATAGAGAAATGGTTAACCAAAGAGATTCGCTTCTGGAAGATATACGACTGTGTTTGTACGTTCACTGCAAAATCTTGGCAAAATTAACCAAGATTTAGACAATTTCAAATTATTTATTTTCGGCATTGGCGTATATACTTTTTTTTTCAAATACACTGATAAAATACAAGATTTTGTAACTTTTACAGAACGATTACTGATATTTACGTTAACTGTTTTTATACTTTATTAGAATTTTGATTATCTGCAGAATACGCCTTTATAAATTCCTTAACGAAGTTCTGAGTTACTTTGCTCTTCGAAAAGTTTTAATAGACAGGAATAAACGGAATACGTTATACATATTAATAATTTACTATCAAATAGCTTGTGGTGTTTTGTTATGTGGAATTAGAAAATGCATTTCTCTTTTGATTTTAGAATATTTAATAAATTATTAGAAAAAAATAAACAAAGAATTAGTCTAACTTGCGATATTACACACTGTCATTTACATTTTACTGTAAACATTTGAAATTCGAATTTATTTCCCTTAACACAAATTTAAATTAGACATCTACTTGTACAATATCAGATAGCAGATGAAGCATTGAATCTTATCTTGGATTTACTATAGTTTAAGATCTGTCAATAACGTAAGTGTGTCATTTAAAAATCAAAAATATATTGAAAAAAATTTTCGACTCGGGCAGGGCTTGAACCGGCATCGTCAGCGTTCCGCGCTGTTGCTCTGACGCTGACGGTTCAAGTCCTGCCCGAGTCGAAAATTTTTTTCAATTTATTTTCGATTTTAAATTATATAGTGCCTTCATGTGTAACATGTAAAAAATAATAAAGTTTTTAAGTGTGTCATTTTAAGACCTATGAAGATATCGTAATAACTATGAATATTATTGGAACTAATATTTTATATTTTCCTACGCATTTGTTAAAAAAAAAAGAAAATTCTCAATTCTGGACATAAACGGACAAAAGACTTAAAAATAAATTATTTATAGTGTCTGTTGTTTACACGAGTAGTACACATTTTAATAAAACATTTTTAACTGTTTAAAACAAGGAATAGATCAATTAACTTATATAAAATATATTTTAACGACAGCCCGACGTTTCGAAAGCTTTGCAGAGAGGCCAGAGGAGACACTGCTTAAACCGTTAAAAGTGTTTTATTCAAATAAAAATATGTCTAAATATTCGAATAAGCCATTGTTATTTTAATTTCTTATTAAATAATTTTTGCATGAACATTTTCCGTTTTCACTTGGAATATCACAATTATATAAAGTTTCTTACTTACCGGTAGGAGCAAGCAGCTGATACCATTACACATAAACACCAATGCAATAAGGCAGAATACCGATCTCATGATAACTCAATGTTCCACAATGTATCAATGAAAGTTCCGAAAACTTGTTGAAGCAAGCAGTGACGTTGGCGTCGGAAAAGTTGTGAATGGGGCGGCTTTTCCGAGCTCCCTTTATAGGGACACAAGTTCACTGCGCACCCTGGTGTGCGCTTTCCACAACGAAACTACCCAAAAAGAACCAGCTTGATTTTCGAACGCAATGGTATTTTTACTGTTCTGGACTGTAAACTGGTAAAACTGTGATAGATAGTGTAATTAAAGTGCCTTGTAAACGGATTAAATATTATCAAATTATTATGTTTATGGTTGTTTTTCAGCAGATGTTTGTCTCGTTTGATACAGATATAATTTTGTGTCAGAGATAAATGAGGTAAAGGTATATTTAAATCAAGCCAATACGGCTGCTGTAAAATATACGAAACGTCAGCTCATAATTAAAGTAAATAAGTTGAAGTATCTTATTTTAAGCCGGGAATTGATGGCTCAACGAATCAAATTTTTTTCTAATCAATTTATAATTTTTCATAAACATTTGGACTTCGTCTGGGAACCTTGATATTAAACGGGTGGTAGGAACTAGGAATATCGAAATTCCGTTGGGGTCACGCACCACCGTATAGGTGAAAAAGCCGTTAATTGTTCTGTGGATTTCCGAATATCCAAAGCCAAAATAGGTCGACACCAAATATTGTTTAAATATTATATATTGGTGAAATATCCCTACCATAAAATGAACCGCATGCAACAAACAAAAGCTAAGCTAATTACTAAAGACATAACTACTAAAGATTTTTACTAAGCTTTATTTTTAGTAGCCACCATGAAAACGGTGATTTTAAATCATACTCCAAAATCTGTCCTCATATATTCTCAAAAGCGAAATTTACGATAGCATCCGCCAAGATAAGTCGCGTCCTGTTTCACCCAATTTTAATGATTAGCGCCAGAAATAAGATCAACTCTGCTAACGAGAAAACTTGACTTAAAGCATATACTTTGTTATAATACCTCAACATTTGTAGTGACATAGGTTAAAAACTTTAATATTTTTCACATGATGGTATTATATAAATTAAGGCAGGACTTGAACCGGCATCTACGGCGTTCCGAGGTGTTGCTCTAACCAGTACGTCTGACACGGTAGCTTAATTGGAGAGAGAAACAGCACCGAGCGCTATAGACGCCGGTTGAAGTCCTGCCCGTGTCGTATTTTTTTTAAGCTCCAAATCGATTTTTATCAATTTTTTCCTCATAGGAGTGTTTCTCGTACGTAACTTGATTATATTTTATTTGAATCATCTATTTTATAATACAAAATAAAACTATATTATATTGTATATAACGATTAATTTACTGAGAGGCGTTAAAAAAGGTAAGAATGTATTTATGTATCAATGTTATCCAACTAACGGTTGTTGGCAAGTTTAAAAAATATTTTTTTTTTTATGTAGGTCTTATGAACACCTAACTAAAATGTGCAGTCAACGTATTTTGCCTTTGGATATTCAAATTAATTGGCTTTGGGAAGATCTCAACAAATAATAAAAAGCATTTATTTCTTGCTTTTTACATTATTTGTTGACATTAAACAGATTTTGTTAGTACCAAAGCTTAGAATATGTGAGTAATTGAAGTATGTATATGTATTCAGTTCATAGACTTATAAATGTGCAAGAACCCCGGTTTGGGTATAGGTCCTCCAAAGATACCCATTTTTCTGGGTCCTGTGCTATACAGCACCAGTCTATGCCAGCAAATACACTCTTTTTATTATAGATTTAGTATTCATAAATAATTTATACACTTTATGTACGTCACTGTAGAGTATATTAAACATTTGTGTAATGAGATCTCCATTAGCATTTATTATAGCAATAAAATTTCTCTTACAAAGTCTTAACAGTTCATACGGTCCCCTACCGAGAACCCGAGATATTTAATGGTTCCTGATGTGGTAAAATATTGCACTTACATAAAAGTTTTTCGTCTCATGATAAATAAAACAAAATAATAATCTATCATTTATTCTACACTCTGAAACACTAAAATATCTTTTGGATATATAATTTGAGAAACATAAGATATCATGTCGGTAATTAAATTAAAAAGCGCGTAGATAAGTCGAAGGAATGTGTCAAGACGGAACGACAGGATGGGAACTTTGAAAATTCAATCCATTATACGGTAATTCCAGAGTATAATCGGCTTGAACTTCCCCCGGATTTGTTGTGAGATCTAAAGTGGGGGCATCTATAGCAGTTGATACAATAGGAGCTTGAGAGTGAGTCAGAAATCGTGGCGCTTCATCTTTGAACTGATTTAGTACTGGTTTCCATGTTACTGGTTTTTCTTCTATTTTATCACCCTTGATTGCAATATGTCTCGATCTCTTCAGCGATGGTGGGAAGTCGTTGCTCCTCCTTTCGAAGTGGTCATACGGAGGGTAAGTGGGATAGAATCCGTAGCTTAACGGACTTGTACCAATCTGGAACAAAACATCTATTAAACGGTTATCTTAGTTATTTGTAGTTTACGTGAGTAAGTAAATGAAATACTTTTTCATGGTTTAAAAAAGCTATTTATTTTATTATAATAATATCTCCCCGCGGCTGTAAAGTCTCCGGAACTTTAAAAATGATAATTTTTTTTAATTTGTAATTTCAACTGTAAACAGGTTTTTATTTTGCGTTTTATAATGTTAACTTCTATTCTACAAGAAGTAATTGGGAATATGATTATGTGCTATTAAAATGTTTGAATTGAAAGTGTATTTAAAAAAGGTATCGAATTGTTTCCCTAATGATGATAGTATTAAGCCGATCCCTTTCTTAAGGACGATAAAATAAGGTTTAATAGTAGATCCAAAGTGAAAAGCCATTTTTTTTTTCATACCTTCCCGGTATATAAATTTCATTAACACCTATCGATCGCTTATCAGGGAATGTTAATATTAATAATAATGAGGTTACTACATGTTTCCATACATTTCGAAATCGTTGATCGTTATTTAATTAGTTGATATGCGAGCTATTTCTGGATGTAATTAATCTTATTTACAAAATTTGGATTCAGGAATACGTGACGTATTTACCTTTTTAAGGCCCTGTATAGACGCGAGAATCAGAGCCATTTTTGCCAGAAGTAAAGCTTTCCCTCCCAGTACGGCTAAGAATTGGAATCCCATTGGAACTAAAACCATCCCCATAGACACTATGCCAAACATCATCATTGTCAGCATGTGGCGTCGTCTACCTCGTTGTTCAACTAAAAATAGGGTACATATTACAATGTAAGCAAAATTATGTAAGAGATGTAGATAATACTGATCTAGTAAAGACTAATAATAGAATATTTAATAAAAATAATTGATAAATTGTGTAAGGTTTCCACGGCCGTCGTTCAGCATACCATTGTTTTTCGAGCTGATCGGCCGACGTAAGCGAGAAGTTCTCGACGTTTCGCCATCACGAGCGGGCGGCATCATCAGGATGTTACCTAACATCTCCTAATAGCCCGAAAAACAATGATATGATGGAAATAATTGACTTCTTAATCCAATGATAACAAAAGAAAAACACAACCCTTGGCTTCTTGGAATTCGATTCCTTCTGAATTCAACATAGTAATATTTCTCCATCTTACATCAACATTCTATATATATAACATTTAGAATAAACACTGCTATATAACTTCCATTAAACAATAATATTTAAGACAACAATAAAATAGCAAAACCTGTCTCAACGTTTCTGTCCCCAAATTCGAATTTGATAACATGAGTCCGTAATACTTTAGCAATTCTCTGTAATGCTAAGGTACGCCAATCTCCGTTTTCCAAATCCTTGTCACTCCATGTGCTGAAAATTGAAATCTATCTTTTATGGATCCATCTGTCTATTTCCTAATTTGACTTCGAGGGCTTTCGACGTTCTTTTCTATATTACTGAAGGCGATTGCTGAATCATTGGATTCCCTGAGAAGTGTGACTAGAGTTATATCTACGAGTGGTTTTGCTCGCTTAAATTCAAAGACGTGCGTGCGATGCGTGTTTATATATTAAATTAAGGCACTTTTAGACAGACACACCGCTGTTTCACAGCATGCGAAACGTAGTTAACATAAATTGTGAATAAGTTAATTATTTTGCGTTTTAACCCGTTAAAAGAAATTTATTTCAATGTGTACTACTCACGTAATATACAGACATTAATTAGCTAATGAAACACACAGGCCTAAAAAAATAAAGTTTATTTTTTCATATCGTTTATATCGAACAACATTATTTTGTATGTGGACAGATTTTTGTGTTCTCTTCATTCATCGATTTTGTTTAAAGGTAAGTAATTGACCAGACTTCTGTAACCTTCCTGACCCATATATTTTTTCATCGGATTCAATCTGGTTTAAGGCGATTCTATACAATGTGTTTAACCATTGGGCTATAGACACGGTCATACATATTTTGCGCGCAGTATATAACTGAATATAACCTATTTGGAAATACACAAAAGTAGTAAACATTCTTTTAAAACGTGCATTTATTTATTACATTCGTACTGAATTTAACTTATTTCGCTTATAAAACTATTTTACTGAAAGTGGAGCGAATGTTTGCGCAATTTAATTTGAAACCCACTTTTTATGCGACGTTGACAAATATCTTGGGGTCATTCACTCGACCACGGATAAACTTTATTTTCATTTTGTTCTCTATTTTCATTAGTTTGGAATGGCTCGGAGTAATGCTAAATAAATCATTACGACGAAAATGTAGATATATTTGACGTTGAGTTGTTGTTGTGTCTTTCAGGAATACATAGTCGTATAAATCCTGAGTTTGAACCCCGGAAAGGTACAATTAAATTATGAAGAAAAACTATACACAGAAGAATCTCCTTACTATACTTTAAATACAAATATTTATATTCGTATTCGCCTATTCGCTCTTTTATTATATTCGTCAATACCAATATTACATATTATTAATATACTTAAATAATATATTTTTATAAGAAATAATTGGTAAAATGAAAAATTAAAATTTCTTACGTATATATTTATATTTTTATTTCTGTTATAATCATATAAGTATAATTGGTACATAATAATAACGAGTACTTAGAACAAAACAAAGGAGCCAAACAATTACGTCTGTACAAGTTTTTGGAGCAAAAATCCACCAATACTTTTGCCTAATATTCGACTATTCGGTCAGGGGTTCCCAATATTGTATTCGGTATACTGCCGAATATACTATTCGTTGCAAGTCTAATTAAAATTGTATAAGAAAAGTTGTTTTCTCTCCATGGTTAATGGTGAATGTAAAAAAAACATTGTGTTTTCCAGGAGAATGTTGTAATTAAATATGCTTCATTAGTGAACTAAGTTATAAAAAAAACCCATCTCTAAAAACGCTTAGCAAAAGAAATGATCTTATGAACTGTCTTGACAATCATTCCAGATATTGAATTTAATACAATAAATTAACATTAGAAGAAAATAGAAATTCATTTTATACATAGTAGATAGTGGTGTAGATAATATTTGTAATTGAACGAAATTTACATGCTTACCTAGTTTCGTTTCCAGTGACGAAATTTCCAGACCGATCAACTAATTCAAATCTTACTAAATTTACACCCTCCACAATGGGTACTAAATCCAGGCTTAAAGTTCTGTCTAAGCCCTTTAAAGTTTTCCTCTTCATACATCGCACGAATTTAGGAAAATACTCCTTATGGTCGATTTCATCTTTAACACTGATAAGCTGTAAAATTAGAAATTAAGATAGCTAGAAGCTTATGTTTTGAAACCATTCTTCCACGAACTAAACTTTACAAGGCATTTTGGTTCGAAATTTGAATCTAGTTTTTCAATTGTATACTACCCTCTCAAAGGTAAAAAAGCGACAAGACAATAGTAAATAACATTTATTGCAAAATTTAAATTTGTAGTTATTTTAAGCACTACTTGAACGTAGTTATTAATTAAAATACTAAACTCAAAACATAAAAAAATATATAAAAATGATTATTATTATTAAATATGATGGATATTAAAAGTACGAAAAATGTATTAACATTAAAATTGTAGTGACATTTTGACAACGCTACTAGGTAATTTAGCGATTACAAATATCGATGACACTCACAGGACGCGAAGAAGTGACTAACCGCTTTTCAATCTCACCTAAGATTTTTTTTATAAAAAAAGATACTTCTTTGGAATGAAAGTCTAATCTCATAGACTGATAACATTTTAACCTCCTTTTAATAAACCGTACGCATAGGGGCCGGTGTTCGTTTGGTTACATTTATTAAATGTTTTTGTCATCCCTTTTATCCCAAGTCTGTATATAATTTGCTTTGCGAAATATTCGCTGCAGAATATACATTTTCTCATAAAATGTAATACTTAACCGTACGTCTTTTGAGATATTATCCTCGACAGTTTATAATTAGTACTAGAGTTGAAAATAAATAATAAAAATTGTTCATTTAAATAAAAGAATAACGATTTTAAACGCGAAATATATTAGATAAATTTGTTTATATATTTTTTTTAACTACGGCCTGACGTTGCAAATGCTTTGCAGCAGCCGTGGTCACGACAGACCTTTAAAACCGTTTCGCGTTTTAAGCCGTTAAAGTGTTTTATTTAAATAAGTACTAGTCGCAGAAAGTACAGACAGTATATTAAACTATATTCATTACTTAATATTAATATAATAAAAACAGCCATATGTATACATATAGAAGGAAACTGATATGAGATTTAAATTAAAAATCGACTTGAAATTTAAGAATTAATTTGTATAATGCCATGAGAATGATGCAACAATGCAAAAATAAGAAGTACGAAAAATATGTTTCTCATCTTTACTTAGATCACCTGAGTGAAACCCACAAGTAAATATATAATTAAGAGTACAAGTTAAGCTATTTACTTGCTTGTAGTTGTTGTATATACCTTTCATATTATACAAATTCTTCAGACATTGTGTTCAGATCATTCGACCACAACAAAATAATGAATTAGCTTTTATTATGAATTTTCTTTATGAGAAGGCTTTTATAAGCAAATCCCTTGATAAATCCCTTCCCCACGGGCCGGACGTGTACAGTACATTTAACATAATGTTGAAAGAAATTCTGTTTCTCATAGTAATAACTAGTTTTGCGTGCAACTTCGTCGGCGTGAAAGTGTCTACCTTAAACAGAACAGATAAGAGAGACACGAAGTCTTTTTGCATTCGAACTTTATGTTCCTTCAAGCTATATATAAACTATTAGTGACTACTTGAAAGGGTCAGTTCAATGATTTCGGGTATTAGCATGCACATACAAAGAACTATAATCTTATCATTTTTCTGTTATATAGCCTATTCTGTATGTCCCACTTACAGTGTTTGATAATTTTATTAAAGTCACAAACAAACTACATGTACGTTCTGCTTCATCTTAGTATACAATGTGAATATTTTCGTTGTATGTTAAGAAATGTAGCTCTACCGAAATAATAAAAATTGATATTTTAGTTGCACTTTTAGATAATAACTTATTTATAATATTTGAATTGAAAAAATGCTAGTGGACATTTAACTTTGTCGACGTCCGCACGCTGTCTAAAGAAAGTTTTGTTGTATTCTTCTTCAAGCTCAGGGCAAACATCCATAAATTGTCTCGTAATAGTGTCTAATTCTCATAATTGCTGTTGTGAGTTTTTACAAACTGGATTTAAGTTAAGTGGGCAAGCTACACCGGATTACAAAGTGAATCAGGGATGGAGGTAAATAGACGCAACGTGATATAGGATGGTACTAGTTACTACGAACAGAAGCGTCCCATTACTAAAGCAGATTATGGAGATCCGGAAGAGATTAACGAGATTACACAAGATGTACTCGCGGTACATTAAATTGTATCTACAGGAATATCTAAAGATACCTTTTATATCTTAAATCTAGAGTTTTCGCGATAAGTACTAATTTAACAGATTCGTCAAGCTAATTGTAATTTAAATACTGTCTGTAGTTTATGCAAGTAGTACACATTGAAATAAAACATGTTAACGGTTTAAAACAGTTTTAACTAAAATATATCGCATTTTAACGCCGTTAAAGCGTTTTATTTAATTTAAAATTTTTAGTTAAATTGAACACATAGTAACGTTTATTCAAAATTCGAACCGTTTGAAATTAAAAAAATAGAATTATTTTAACGATGGTTTCTTTAGCAACAAAATCACTTGCTATTGGGAAATATTAAGCTGTTTAATTTTGGAAAAATATTTTAAATTAAAACGTTTGACAAATATATTTATTGAGATTTGTAAAGAACCCTTTTTTAACGATACATTTATTCTATAAACATACCTGTTTAGAGCAGTCCCTCCAAATAATTCGCACTACGTCGGCGCCTTCGAGCCACAAATCAGCTAAAAAGCGGCTTAAGTACGACTCGGCATCTACTTGCGGCTCACTCGAACATGACTTCAGAGTTACAAAAGCAAGGATTATTGCAACTGCTTTCATATTGTGGCTGGAATGTCTCACGTATTTCATTTCGCCACTAACATTTCGTCTCTCCCTCACTTCGTATGCCGAGTAAGAATCTGAAATTGTCCAGAAGTAGTTTGTTTAATATAATAATGTATATAATGTAAATACTATCTGTGGTTTACGCGATTAATACACGTTTAAATAAAACATTGTAACGATATAAATTACGAGATTATATAAGTTTAGCTAATATTAGTTAAAATTATTTTAACTACAGCCGACGTTTCTGATGATTTGCAGCAGCCGCGGTCACGGGGAGACAAGGATATTTTGTCACTGCATAAAAGAGTACATGTATAAAGGATTATTGAATTTATTATTTAAGTAAAAAAAGAAGAGGATTGAATTCTATTCTACTTTTAAATAAAAGGCTTTTAACGTTTTAAACGCTTCAAACGCGAAGCTATTAGGGTTGCCTGGAAGAGATCGCTCCATAGCGATAAGGCCGCCCATTGCACTATATAACTGGTGAGAATAATGTATCTTAAAAATTGTATTATTAAGAATATTTTTAAGGAATCATGTATATATACTTTGTATTTGTTGCAATGAAGAATTAAATAAATAAATAAATAAACGCGAAATATTTCAGTTAATCTTATTTACAATTTATTTTAACTAAGGCTCGACATTTCGGATGCTTTGAAACAGTCGTGGTCACGGGGGACGAGGTAAACCGTTAATGGTTATCTACTACTTAAACAACACAGTGCTTCCGTTCTACTAGTTACCTATACATAAAAGTCAATCGGAATGTTTTAGTGCCTACTTTTAAAATTAGCATCGAATTGACAAGAAGTGAGTTTAATTAAGGGATTATTATTTCCTACGCCATTTCCTTTGATTAAAATCGTTTTAAAGAAAAGTAGATAAGCTTATCCGCATTAATTTAATCATTTGAAACCGTGCGAAAAGACTGGAGAGAGAAAGACTGTTTCAGTCAATTTACTTGTAATTAAACAGTAACAATAATCTTTAACGATACTAAACTACCCGCGTGATAATTCTACTAATCGACACATTTCCTTTAAGCAACAAAATTAGATTTTTAATATCTAGATCTTTTTGGCTTAACAAAAATACAGTCCGTTATACGCTATACAGGTGCTACGGTTTTGATATTGAAAAAATACACCAATTCAATAAAATCTAAAAATAATTAGGCATCACAAAATTCTGCCACAATAACCTTCTGTGAAATAATTCAGTAACAATAAAACATACACGTAGGCGACCAAATGTCACAAGCGATCTACCTACAAGAAAATCGATAAAACCCTTTGTTAGAGACAAGAATAGTAAAAAACAGTGTACACACAAAAAGTCTACGTGATTTATGTTACCCCAGCCGCCGTATTTCAGACCACTTACCATAAAATCCTGTATTGTTATTTTTAATCCTCAACGCTGTAACTCTCTTGGTCAAGGTTGATCAAGAAGTGAGGTCTGTACCATGACCTCGCTATATATCATAACCTATTGTATATTTCTGGATCGAAGTCAACATGGAAATTATTCTAATATGCAACTACAGATGGATGAGTTTACGCGCACCGTTTCCTTTGAATTATAGATGAACGTACAAATTACAAATTATGCGAATCGGTCATCGCATCGTACTATCCATAACGGATACTTGATCTGATTTTAAATAAAATAATGACCTGAAATGAATGAAAAAAGACTTGGTGAATTTTAAGCCCTTAATTTAAAAATTGGTCGGAAATCTAAGTGTAGTGTTTGTAGTTTACGCAAGTAATACACATTCATAAAAACAGCATATCGAAAAACAAGAGGACAAGTCAGTTCTTTTAAGATCTAGTTTAATTTTTCCAAATACCAACTACGAAGAAACAGATGGCGTTGCAGATTATTTGCTTTGACATTAGGGACCTCGATTTTCAGCGCCCCCGTGACTATTGTTACAAATAAAGTCGTAACGTCGGGACGTAGTTGAATTTTTTTTAAATTAAGTTAAGTAATCTATTTTGCGTTTTTAATCGTTCAGTGTTTTATTTATGTCTTAGTTTAAAACTGTATTTGCTTTTAAGGGTGTGTTACCCTAATTTATAATTAAAAGTAATAGGACCTGATTCAACAGAGAAAGACTAGCTGCCAGTGCAGCAAATAAAATGCCAATGTTAGGTTCCTGTTCTAATTAATATAATTTATCATTACTAATTATTAATATACATATTATATATGTAATATAAAATATCATGTTTACCATCACATGTGAAAAATTTTAAAGTTTTTAAAAGTTATTCTAGTTCTCAAATGTATCTTTGTATTAAGTGAGCTTCTTGTTGAAGCTAATCGAAAATGCAGTCTACCAAACGCTATAAAAGTTGATGTGCTTCTAATTTTAGTGTCGTAACTCCAAGTTACACATATGACATCGTCACTAATTGGTTTGCTTTATGCAAGACCGCCTCGCCTTCTCTCTAGTTAGATACAATGTAACTAAAGTATGTAGTACATACATAATATTTCGTTATCAGCCAAGTGACATCCCGATAACCTAGCATGGGTTAAGATTCTAACCGACGTTGCTAGAGAAGACTTTTAACCATAGAACCACAGGTATCGGTTAAAAATTATGTTTTTTAGTTATTGTCTTATCGAACTATAAATAAAATGTATAAAGAAAAGATATGTGTAAAACTAGAGTTGGAGGTATTTAAAAAAAACTTAAAAGTAATAAAGCAAAAGTAGGTCACAAGTGCTGTATTTATGTAAAATGCAACTAAAATTATAGTTAAATTAAATAGAACAAAGACAGTTAAGCAATTATGAAACAATGACATGTTGCAAAGCGTTTTTAAGACGGTGTCAGCAAATTTTATTCTACTTCAATCGTATGCGATCAGCGACAATATTATAATTGTTATTTAGTATTTGTTCTGTGTGGTGCAGGTAGTGTAGTCTCATCAAAATTATGTGGTCACAGTGATTGTGTTAGTGGACATAAAAAAATCTAGGTACGTGGAATTCATACATATTTTTGAACGAAAAATATATCGCACTACCTTATTGTATACACATTCAATAGCATATTAAAATAAAATACTGCTCAAATACTGTCTGTAGTTTACGCGAAAAATACGGATTTAAATTAATATTCGAATAAGTTTAACTAATATAAATCGCGTTTTAAACCGTTAAAGTGTTTTATTTAATTGTTTTACGATTTATGTGAGAACTGGTAGTAAATGTAAATTTAGAGTCTTTTATTTACACATTTACACATTCATAAGTACACCTAGTTAAAGAAATAAATTATAATGATACTTATATGAATAAAAAGAACACTAATGACGGTTTGAAACGCAAAATATAATTAATTGATTTAAAACATATCCCGGGCGTTTCAAATTATTTTCAGTCACTTTCAATAAAGCGTTTTAAACCGTTAAAAGTGTTTTATTTAATGTGTACTGGGATGACAATGCAATGATAATATTACTGTTTATTATGGATGTAATTATAATGATAAAAATCTTTCCCTTTTTCTGGTTAAAACGACCGTAATAATAATAATAAAAAAAAAAATTTTTTTTTTGGCTTTTTTTTTTTAAATTTTTTGGGGTTAAAAAAAAAAAAAATAAAAAAAAAAAAAAAAAAAAAAAAAAAAAAAAAAAAAAAAAAAAAAAAAAAAAAAAAAAAAAAAATTTTTTTTTTTTTTTGGGGGGGGGGGTTTTTTTTGTGTTTTTTTTTTTTTTTTTTTTTTTTTTTTAACATAGTCTTTTTAATGAAATTATTTCATATAGTCTACAGTACAACAAAATATCTACTCTCTAGAGTTATGCTAAAATCTCTTTATGAATTTGTATCGGACCCTAATACGTTCTGAATGATTCCTAGTAACTTATTCAATAACTTTATTTATAAGTACAACAGCTATTTTCATTAGCTCAACATAACATGGCATAACATAGTTAATTATATATTATGCTGACCAAAATTAATCAACGCGTCTGATATATCACATAACATTGACACCACATTTCCATTCCAGTCATTATAACTGTTGCCACTACTATGTTCTTAATATTGGATGTATAAATCTCAAATATATTACTAATTTTATAAGACGATTATAACTAAACCGAGAAACCTTGTTTTGTTGATTGATTTATTTGTCAATTGATTTAATAATATTGTTCTGTTAATACAATTTAAAAAAAAAAAAATAATAATATAATAAAGACGCATAATGTCGTGGACTTGAAAGAGGTATCATCCTTTTATAAATATTTTTTTATTTCTTGTACCGTTTTTGCGTCAGCGCACCCGGATTTTTCCTTGTTCTTTCGCTGCTATTGGTCACAGCGTGGTGTTACATACAAAAACCTTCCTCGGTAAATGACCGGTCCAGCACCATCAATTTTTAAATTCGAACCAGTAGTTCCTGAGATTAGCGCATTCAAACAAACAAACTCTTTAGCTTTATAATTTAGTAGCATCCATAAAATACGTAGCATCTATAAGATAGATCAAATATTTACTTCTTGAATGAACTTTCACATTGTGCCAGAGTATGTGTGCGTATTGATAGTATTTAATATTCGTTATTCGATGATTACAGGCGTGCCGCTAGTTTTATTGATAACATCTTATATGTTTATATAAGTTTAGGGCGCTTTTCAGTTAACGTTGAAGTTTAAACTAGTTAACTTAAATATGACTTTCATATAAACTCATTGTATTGTGTACTTACGTAACTACAAATATAAGTAGATTTTTCCAACCCCAACCCTCAAAGGTCGTTTGCTTTATTACAACGTATGTAATAAACGATATTGTTTCGGCTTATGTGTAATATCAATTGTAGATATTACTCATGATATTAACTTGTGACGATATTATTATTTTGTACGACAAATGCTGGAAAAGAATAAAAGAACAATTAACTTTTACTTTCACTACGGATGTATAAGGCTGTGATGTCTCTGAAAATTTGATTTGCGTTCGCCTTTGTCTAGCCTTTCGTTTGTCTGTTTTAAAAGTACCTTATAACTTAGTTTGAATGAATGATTTAAATCTTAATATTTATAATAATAATAATTCTTTATTCAGGCAAAAACCCACATCTTACAATTATGTCATATAAAAATGAAAATAATAATAATACGAATCAGTTAACATTACTGTTTATTTGCGGTTGCTGTCAGCGTGCACTTTTGCTCAGTTCTTTAAAATGGGATTGCTTAGGTACTCGGAGAAAGTTTGCACTATGAGATTCGATGATGTGTTAAAGCGACTCCAATATGATGCGACCCTCGATCGCGTAAAAGTCCGATACCCTTGCCTCAGCGAACATGCCGGACGCACTGCAAAACCTCGGAAGCCCCATTAAAATACGAAAGACATCGTTATACTGTACCCTTAACGCATTATTTTATGAAATTCTTTGTTTGAGTATTCGAATTTCTTAAATTAAACGGCAATAAAGGAAAGAAAATTATTATACAAATTTATATTTTTTCAGTGGCTAGTTTGTTTTATTGAAAAAGTTGTGGATCCAATAAATTAAATGAATATATTTTTTTACAGGGAAACATGATGGATTTGAAAGAAGGAAATGGAGTTTCTGGATTCCTTCCCATGGGATTAGCCGAAACAAGTAAAAACGGTAACATTTTCTAACATCAAAGAAAAACTATGTAACTGTCGGGGTACATTTTCTCTTAAGTAAATTTAATTTTCGTTTAATTTCGTTTGTAAATGCATACACACAATAAATATATTACTGTCAAAAAACTAAATGATTACCATTATCAACCACTCGTATTTAACTATTATAATATTTCTTTTCAGAACATTCGAGTAGACAAAAATTATTTTTAGGAATACTACAAAAAGTTCTACTTCTTGTAATTTTTATGGTCTTCATTATAGCCGTATATGTTTTAATAATTAAATTATTAGAAGTTGACGGTAAGTATACATTGCTATCTAGTTTTGTTTATATATAAATACTAGCTGTATCAGCGACTTCGTCCGCGTAGGATTGTTATTTTGGGTATTAAATTTTTTTTGCAAACCTCCTCCTCTCTTTAAGAATTAAAGCTGTTACCCACGACATCGGTCACGTCCCGTCGCTCGCGACCCGTCGTTTGGGTTCCGTGTTTTTATCAAATTAATCTAAAAAAGCTTTTATTTTTTTGACATTTCTCGGTGTTTTCTTAATATTATATTAGTTATAGGGCGCTGTTTTATAGCCTATTGCGTCCCCCGACAAATGTTCTAACCAACACAAAAATACATTTTCAATACCCGAGATTAGCGCGTACAAAGAAACAAACAGACTCTCCAGCTTTGTATATCAGTATATATACTTAACTAATCCTCCATTTTCTTCAACAGAAAAAATATGCAAAACAGAAATTATTGTTTTATCAAATACACCAGATTCTTCTAACGTAACAGTTTTCTCTGGAGAAAATGCTATCTTACAGTCATTGAAGAATAGGACGCGTAAATTCAGAACAAAACGACAAACAGGACAAAAAAACAAAATTAACAGTTATGACAACTTAAAATCAAAAGACAGTAATATAATAACAGCCAAAAAGATTTTGTCTCAATATGACGTTTTATGTAATGACGAAAGTCATAGAGAATTCTGTAAAGAATTCGTTAACAAGTTGAAATTATTAACCGAGACGAAAAAAGATAAACAAAGATATGGTATAGAGATTGACGATGAGTATAGAAAAGGTGAACTTATAAAACGAGAGACACTAATCAATGACATCATATCAACTAGGCCTTTTGAACGAGTACCAAATGCGATACCGGCATATCCCGAGCTACCTATAACACAATTAGGAGATGATTGCCTCTTAAATCGCCTTATGAGGCAAAGTGGAAATGTACTGAACGATTTTCCGACTTATCACAGGTTAGTTTTTTGTTCGATTACGAAACGGTCGGGTCGGATTTCAAACGCAAAGTAGTTTATTAGTATTTTAACCTACAACCCGACGTTGACTAAAAAGTCACTTAATTGAACTTGCTCTTTAGAGGAAAGGGCAATGGCTTGGTCAGTATATGTTTACTTAAAAACGACGTATAGGTAAAAAAATCTAATAATGCAATTTAACTCGGAACATGTGACTTATACCTAACATCTTAAACAAATATAAGTTATATATGTTATCCGGCATTAGGGTTTAAAATAGAGACTTTAAAAAAAAATAAACTTAGTGATAGGGGGAGAACAGACAAGCATTCACACAGTGTTCACTTGTTGGAAGGTGAATTACCCCAGCCATAAAATATGTATATACGATGCACCGTCGGCCTATTTTGACTTTGAATATTGTTGCACTTACTACTGCTACTGCTTATTTTTATGCATGGCCTTTACAAATCGGAACTTGATCAACAGAGTCCAAACCAGTCAAGTTATAATTTTTCATTATTATTTCCTGAACTTATTATTGAATCTATGCAATAATATATTTCAGCCATTTGCCAACGAATTTCCTTCCTTCCCGAGCTCGTGGACATAATGAAGCGATTAGACAACCGCACCCGCAAGACTTAGATATAGCATTAAGCATAATGTCACAGTAAGTAACTTCTTAGAAGTCATTGTCCAATAATATCTAGAAGATACTTTTTCTAAAAAAATAATATTATTTCTAAAATAGCACGTTACGTAATTGAGTCAATTAAAATAACTTTGAAAAAAATCATTCTAGGCAAATTCCAGTGGATTTCCTCTCATCTTTCGCCCAAGGGCACGTCGGAGACACACAAAAGCCCCAACCACACCCCCAAGATATTGAAACAGCCCTGAACATTAAGTCAAAGTAAGATAATTTCTTAATAAATATTTAAACCACTTTTCTTTTCCATTATCTGTAGCTGCAAACGACTAATAAATAATTCATTTTTAGTGGTCACTATACGCTTGTGGCGAACATATTATTAAACTTCCATATTTCCCATTTACTTAGGAAAAAATACTTGATAACTATTACTTTTTTTCAAATATATTATACTTGTAATTATTATATTTCTTAATTAATAATTTTATATGAAGTTATTCGTGTATACAATTCTGATAGCCACGTCTTTTTCTGGAAGGTTTATAACGAACAGTCTAGCAAACATAAATATTATTAGTTGCAGACCAGCTGTAAATAGAGACATTTCAAATATGTTACATGAATGTCCAACTGGAACAATATCATGTGACAGCGGAGCTTGTGTCAATGAGAAGCTTTGGTGTGACGGTAATGTAGACTGTGAAGACGCGAGTGATGAAATCCGATGTAGCTGCAGGCAGCGTGTCGACAAGACCAGGCTGTGTGATGGATATTTAGACTGTCCTTTTGGGGAAGACGAAATGGGATGTTTTGGTAAATATAGATTTCATTAACATTATTATAAGCTTTTTCCAGTTACTCTGGTGTATGATCGTTTTTATTGAATTTAATTTGGCAAAGTTTATCAGTCTTGACATAATGTTTTTTTAATCATAAAAAAAGGACAGACAACGGGGTTAGGGTTAACTCGATGGAAGGTGAAATATAAATAAGCCGTATAAATCTACACAAGATGCGCTGTCGGCCTAATTTGCATTTAGATATTCGGATATCGACAAACTGAAATTGAAACGCGATTAGTTTTCACGGCTTTTAAATCTGTGGACGGTGGTTTTAGACCGTACGGAATTTTCGATATTCCCACCACCCATTTTTCCAGAATATAAATATGAGATTATGAATATCCAGATTTACAAAAACAGAAAAATAAAAAAAATGTTGGACCCGGTTGGGATCGAACTCACGACCCGTTGATTATTAGCCCTACATTGCTACCATTACACCAACGAGCCTGTCAAAATATACCGCTTACTAAATATACCTAGTTATTTTTATATGCAGGACAATAAATCTATAAAGAATTTTTGTGCATGGTTGTGTGTTTAAGGTTGCCAAGATAACATGTTTAGCTGTGAAAATTTGGACTCCTCTCAAAATACTTGCTTCACTAAGGAACAGCGTTGTAACAATATAGCTGATTGTTCCAACCACAAAGATGAAACTGATTGCACCATGCTTGCACCCAGTCTTCATAATAAACCCGTTAGTAAGCTGTTATTAACTACGTCTCATGAATTTTTATTATAATTAATTTTGTAATACGATATATTAACACGACAGTATTTTCTATTTTCAGCTAATTGGCGTTTCTAATACAGAAGGTTTCTTACATAGAAATTTTAAAGGGAACTGGTATGCTGTTTGCAATAATCCATATATGTGGGCTCACGATGCATGTCGTCGTGAAACTGGTCTCATTATCAGGTAGTTAACCTTAAATAGTTAAAAAACTGATTAACCGTTTAAAACGCAATGTATACCATGTTATTTCTTTTTCTCTTACAAACCGAAGTAATGACAGTTTAAAGCTGTCGTTACCACACCCTTATGAATACGGAAACTAAAGTAATTTAAATAAACGGTTCGAATTTAGAACCTTAAAAAGTATTTTATTTTACACGCACTATTTGCGTAAAGTACAAATAGTAATAAGTTGACATTTCATATTAAACAAATTGAGTCTTCTTTACAGACCTCCTTACATACAATATATTCAAATAGATCCTTTACTCAAAGTGAACTACCTGAATACAGCTCCTGGTGGTTTGATACAAAATAGTACAACGTGCTTCAATTCTTCTGCGGTATATATCACCTGCCCAGATTTGCTATGCGGCACAAGGATTATAACAAACTCACATATGATTAGAGAAGTATGAGTACATATATTTATATAATATGTCTTTCGAGGTCATTCGGTAATAACAATAACTAGGAAAATATTAAAAATAAAATGATTAAATCTTTTGTATCCAGAATACCGAAAATCAATTATTTGGCCGAAACAAAAGGTTCCTTATGCCAAATTACCCCTACCCGTTTTTATTTTACGCTCCGTTAAGAAGCAAAAGGAATGTAGTAACTACCTCTTCTGAAGACAGCAAAGAGTTAAGGAAAAGGATGACTGAAGGTCGAGTAGTGGGAGGAAAACCCAGCCAACCAGCAGCATGGCCGTGGGTAGTTGCACTTTATAGAGATGGACAATTCCATTGTGGCGGCGTGATCATCAATCAAAATTGGATAATGTCAGCTGCTCACTGTGTACATAAGTAAGGTCCAAAGAAACTATACACTTAAAAATGTTTGGGACACAAATTTACTAAGATCAAACAATATATTTCAGATATTGGCTACATTACTACGAAGTTCAGGTTGGAATGCTGCGTCGCTTTTCATTTTCTCCACAAGAACAGAACTATCCAGTGACACATGTAATAGTAAACCAAAATTATGATCAACAAGATATGAAGAACGATTTATGTTTATTGAAAATAAAACCAGGCATTCAGTTCAGCCGTTGGGTTCGCCCTATATGTTTGCCGGGACCTGAAGTTGCCGGTCCAGATTGGGCTTGGGGACCACCAGTGGGCACTATTTGTACAGCTGTAGGCTGGGGATCAACAATTGAACACGGACCAGATCGTATGTAGAGTATTTATAAATAAATATATATCTCAACAGATTCTGTTAATATGTTTTCTTACTATAGCTGACCACTTACGGGAAGTAGAACTACCTGTTTGGGAACGTTGTAATCATCGAGAAGATCAAGATAGTAAACAAATATGTGCCGGTCTGTTTGAAGGCGGTAGAGATACGTGTCAAGTAAGTACATGCAGTGCTTGATTCAATGCAAATTTGAGTTGATATTTAATAATATAATGATTGTTAAAGGGAGACAGTGGTGGGCCGTTGCTTTGTCAAAATCCTTCAAACGAACATCAGTGGTATGTAGCTGGTATTGTTAGTCATGGAGACGGTTGTGCCCGCAAAGGAGAACCCGGTGTTTATACAAGAGTAAGTCTATTAGTGCCTTGGATCAGACACCACACTTGTAAGTATATTTTTTTGAGTACAAATCGAGAAATAGTTCAGGGTTGATTGTAATATTACTCTTCATTACAGCATCAACAAATTTGCCAATCATTCAGCCAAAGCAAGAATGCCCTGGCTTTAGGTGCAAGTCTGGAATTTCAAAATGTCTTCCAAAGACTAGAATAAATGATAAAATAATAGATTGCCTGGACGGCGAAGATGAGTTTAACTGTGATATAAAAGAGTCACGAAATATTGTAGAAGAAATCTTATCAATTCCATTCAGTAGAAATGCTAACGTCTCCACAAACTTAACAACAAATAAATTAATTAACAATGAAAATAAACAAATGAAGTCAAATATTTCGACTACAACAGAAACAATTATCGCCAGTATAATTACGTCAAATATAACTACAATAAAAAATATTAACAAATTGGTTATAGTCAACTCTACTCCCAATCCAGATATTAGTGATAATGCAAATAATTTATTAAATGACACTACTTCTGAGCGAGATTTTATACATAATGCTCAAAAAACTACTACAGAAAATAGCTTGGATACAATTTATAGTTCAAATGAACACATAACAGACGATCCTTTTGAAGTTGCCACTGAATTGACGCCTAATAAAGAAATGTCTTCAAATATTCTCTCCGAATCCATTGTATCGATGGCTACAGATAGTAGCAATTTGCACTTTGTAACTGAAACCACAACAAAGAACTTAATTAACATTGAATCAAATGAAAATTATTTAACAACAGAAAATTCTATACTCCCTGTTGTTGACAATATTACTACTACTGTAATTTTTGAAAGTACTACGAATGTTGATAACGACCACAATCTTGTGTCATCTACACCAAAAAGTAATTTAACAATTGTGACGCCTATGACGACAAACCAATCATTGTTCGTTACTACTAATCCTCTTAGTGAAGATGTTGTGACAAATGGTATTACTGGTAATCCCCAAAACTTATCTTCGAACTTAGAAAATCAGAACAGTATTGTTCCTGAAATTGAAAATAATTTAATTTACCCTATTGAAGCAACAAGATACAAAACAAAACACAAAACGCCTTTACATTTTAAATGTCACAAGTAAGTAATTAAAAACAGGTACTGTAATAACTTATTATATTAAAGGCATTAAAGTTAATGTTTTGCATTTCACAGAATCTCACAAATAATTTCTTATAAGAATCGTTGCGACCACAAGGCTGACTGTGAAGATGGCACTGATGAAATAGATTGTACCTGTATTGATTACCTCGAAACTTTTGAAAGTCAGCTCATTTGCGATGGAAACTATAACTGCGCTGACGGTCAAGACGAAATTGATTGTTGTAAGGATATTGACTATCTTTAATTATTTTGAAAAGTTTTATGATTTAGTAAAAAAAAATCTCCGTGTCTTTTATTTGTTTTTTTCAAACTTTCCATTTCATTGTTGTTGTAAGTCTGCATTACAAAAATTTTTAATTACTTATATTTCACTCCAGTTGGTTGTGACGATGGACAATTTCTTTGCAAGAAAAGCCAGATGTGTTTATCAAGTAAATATGTCTGTGACGGCAAATCGCAGTGCCCTCTAGGTGAAGATGAACTAGATTGCTGTAAGTTTACCAATTTAGAACAGTATAACAAGTGAGTTATAGTAGCAAAACGACCCGGCATTATAATGTATTATTTTACTTTTCTTTACAGTTGCGTTAACGAATGGAAAAGATATAAGATTTGATATTGACGGTAGACCGAAAGTTCGCTTCGAAGGATTCGTCACAAAGAAACAAAATAGCGATTGGCATGTAATTTGCGAAGAAAATATGTCCATTCATGATCAAGAAGAAGCGGCAATACACATGTGTCGCTATTTGGGTTTCAGGTGGTTATAAAAAGAAATTTGATATCTGTTTTACTATACGCAAGCTTCATTAATGCGATTAATGGTTTCTTTTGCAATAAATTATTTTTATAGCAAGTTATAGCAGATAAGATTATCTCATCATGGGTTAAGATTGAGTTAGATATAAAGAGTTATCTTAAAAATATCTTTAATATATGTCATCTCATGTTTACTTTTAGCAACGCTCTTTGGTATAAGATAAAATATATCAATGTGAAAGACAGTAACTTGGTTGAAATTCCCGTGGATAATAAAAGAAGTAAGAGGAACAAATCGAATAGAGAACCCGTAATGTTTACTTACGTAAAAAGTGATGCGGACAAAAAACAAACAAGGAGCGTTATAATATCAGAGCCGGAAGTACTGAAAGAGAAATGTTTACCAAATGTAACAAAAACGTGCATGACTCTGTATGTTCTATGTGACCAATCCCTATACACGAACTTTGATGTACCTCAAAATCTCTTATTTCGAGGAGCTGAGGAAAATTTCGGCCAACAGTGGCCGTGGGTAGCAAAGCTCTACACAGATGGATATTATAAATGTACAGGAGTTCTCATTGATATGTCTTGGGTTATGTTCAGCTATCAATGTTTGGAATTAAACTTGTGAGTATACAAGGAACGTTTCTTTCTTTATATGAGAAGCATGATTAGGTGATTAGGGATATTGATTATAATTAGGGAAAAAAATACTACGATTATTTAAATATTTTATATTTATTTATTAGACATAATATCTTAATTTAATATCACCAAAGTTGAGATGAGTAAGTCATGTTTTTGAATCAGTAAAAATCAATATATTTTACAAGGACTTCAGCGCATTTCCAAATCTGTAACGATATTTTCCATAATTTTCTTTTCAGACAAACTCCGCGATACAACACAGTCGTTTTAGGATCCCATAAAACACTTTTTTCAACAAAGGGTCTTTACGAGCAAGTGCGTAAAGTTGATGCAATTAAAAATTTGTATAGCAGCAAAGTGATTCTTTTACATCTACAAGAACCGGTAGAGTATTCGACGATGGTAAAACCGATGATTCCACCATCTGCGTAAGTTTACACTTTCTACTGACATATTTTCCTATAAAAAGATGTAAGGATTACTACCACCAATCGCTATAATGTCCTATATATATATATATATATATATATATATGTTGTGTATATAAATAACAATATTATTATAGATCAATCTCGTTATCGGAGTAAAAAGTTGACCTTTCCACCCATTTCACTAATTGTATAGTTTTTATGGATTTGTTTCCTTGTTACCTAACAAGAAAACAAATCATCATGTCATTCTTTTACATACATACCTATGTAAAAGATGACACACTGTGTCATTGGGTCTTTCATTTTGAACACTGGTTAATTCCTGAATCAAAATGCAAAATCTCCGTTTCTAGAATCAACACTGTTCAAGGTACATACGAAAGATCAATTTGTATAGCAGTTGGCCAGGATACAACTAATAATACTGTAAGCGTGTTATTGAAAGAATCAAAAGAAAACTGTGATGGAGAACATGTATGTTTTGTGAGACAGTCTACGGTGGATACATGTTTGGTACGTTACATAATATTAAATTTATTTCTATCCACTTAATTTCATTTAGCTTTTATTCTTTTATGCTGGGTATGGCAGATAGATTCCTCACTGTGCCCGTTTTACTGAAGGATTTTGTGTATTCGCTAGTTAATCCGACTATGTGATCTACCCAACTGAAACTATTGTTTCCCAGGAAATAAATCCAGAACCTAGATAGGTGATAGACAATACGTTTCGTACACTTTATGTAGACGGTGCGTAAGTTTTAAAGCGTATTAAATGAATGCTTATTTTTCATTTTCATGTTATTTTCAGAACGATTTTTCCGTAGAGAGGCCGTGGGCGGGGATAATTAGTTGCCACACAAAACAGGGTTGGTACCCTGCGGCATCGTTTATTGAACCACGGGGTGAATGTAATATAGGCAATCGTATTATTGCTACTGAAATTGGAAATTTGAAACACCAAATAAAATATTATGATGGTAATATCCTTTATTTTTAACGATTTTCGCTGTTTCGCGTGGATGATCATATTTTTATTCTGTTGAAAAGGGAGAGAAATGAAAGAAACGAGTTATTTACGATTATTTTGTTACTTATATTATCTATAAAATTAAAGTTTAGTAACGTGCATCGAAAGACATATTAAGGTATCGTTCTAGAATATTGTCACTAAAGAAGTGACAGCCGTCGTTACGTCTCTCTCCTACGGAATAGAAATACTGTCTAACTGTGGAAGATTAATAGGCTCATACCAAGTTTTTTCCCCAGTGGAATTTAAAAATTAATCAACTTGGTAGTACAAATTTGTTGTTAGAATGTTAATATTCCTAGCAATATTATTACAGAAAGACCACTAGTCGATTTAAACGAACAAGATATACATGCAGACTGTGAAGGTGTTCGTTGTGAAAGAGGAACCTGTGTAAAGATGCGCCATGTTTGTGACGGGGTAAGACATTGTGAAGATGGAATCGACGAGGCTCCCGAATCTTGTAAAAGAAAATATAATATGTGTTCAAAGGATCCCTTGCTAAGGGGATGTGGTAAGAACCAAATCGGAAAAATTAAAGTATTATTGCACTCTTAAGTCACAGTTTTCCTATTTTCGTATATAAATTCTGTGAATCTGTCTTGTTCATTAACCAAATTGGTCTACATTTTAAGACAGTCTTTTCGGTCAGTTTCTTCTAATTACGCATGCTCAATTTTTTAGAATGCCCTGTAGGCCACTTAAAGTGCCGCAATGGTCAATGTATATCAAAAGAGCTCTTCAAAGATGGTCACCTCGACTGCGCAGATGGAAGTGATGAGCCAGGACAAACAACTTGTTCCGATTACCTTAGCAGAGTAAACCCTTCCAGGCTTTGTGATGGTGTATTACATTGCCATGACCGGAGTGATGAAGATCCTATGTTTTGTAAATGCTTTGCGAAGCACGGTTACAGGTTTGATATTCCATTAATTTCCGTAATAAATGGTAACTTTATCAATATTTAATATTATAATTGCAACCAATCTATGAATTAGCTGAGCTTTTAAGGGCTTCTCAAATTCTCAAATACCGAACTAAAATTTCCTTCGATTCGAAGTCGAAAGTCCACGCAACTATCTACTGTTGAGTTTATATACACTAGGCATAACAACAAAAAACTTAATAGATTCCTTCCATTCTATAGATGTGGACGTGATCCAACCAGTGAAGATTACTGCGTTGCCACAGATATGGTGTGTGATGGTATCCCAGATTGTCCCAACGGAGAAGACGAACGTACCTGTATTGCTTTAAGTGCACCACATGGAACAGCGTAAGTTCAGTGATTTGAGTTCAAATTAAAATAGAATGTACTCAAAACGATATATTATTTTTATGCATTGTAAATATTTAGGAAACAATGGTATTAATTTCACTTATAAAAATGATTTGCAAATTTGTTCGGTATTGTAAAATGAACTTTACAAGAACAAAATATACCAACTTACAATGCGGCAAGAACGATACTTAAGTAGATAGTTTAAGAGTGAGCTCACTAAGAACCAGTGGCCATTTTGCAATTAATAATTTAAAATTAGCAATAATTATTAAAACAGTAATAATTATTTTTACGTATAAATAGTGTGAGTTTTCTTACATGTTACTAATCTACGTATTTAAGTTTTGTATATGCTGAGTGACGTAAATGTATTGTAAACGTTAATCTTCTTTTATTAGCTCTTGTCTCGTGTTTATCTGCAAATTAAGATTTATTGTCACGCATGTGCGGCACAGGAAATACTAGTTCGTGCTCAACTGTAAACTTATATTTATTTTCAGACCCGGTATCGGCGAAGTAATCATTCGCTCCCACGGCGTATGGTACTCTAAATGTTATCCAAGTGAAAGTCATATTAAATCGGAGCTTGAACAAATATGCAGAGAGTTAGGGTTCATCAGCGGACACGCGAAGCAATTGCCAACACCGGAAAAATCACACCCACACAATCACCTTACCCTGGACCCGTTTTCCGATATAATGCTTAACAATAACACCAAAATAAGGTTAAGGAATTCTCCAGAGCCTATTGGTCGTGGTACCATGGAGGCATTACCTAATTGCTATCCGTTGTTTATAGAATGTTTGTAGAATTATTCAAAACGAATTACATTATTTAAGTATTAAAGTTTCTTTAATTACAGTTTTATTCACTTCTATATTACAACGCCATCTATTTGACAAATATAGAAACTTATAAGAGAGCTTTTATAAATATTTTACACGGTCACAACACTTATACAGAACCAAAGAGGGCGTGAGTTATTTTTTTATGAAAAAAATATATACTTGATACTTTAATTTAGTAGTTTTAAATATTTCTTTCGACCATAGATCAGATCACATTTTCTTAAATTGTTTTTATGTATGTATATGAATATTAAATATATAATAATAATACAATACTGTCTATAGTTGAAGCGAGTAATAAACATTTAAAGAACATTTAACGGTTTAAAACGCGAGATATATTAAGTTAAACTTATTTGAAAACTATTTTAACTACGACCCTAATTTTACTTTGACGTCAGAGACACTCTCCATCTTTAGTCTAGCCGTGTTTTTTTTTATTATGAATTGACTTGATTGATTATTATTATGTATTGAGCTCGGGGCTCCGAATACTAACCGGACGTTTGGGCGAGTGCACTGACGCTCGCCGTGGAGTCTAGCCGTGACCACGACTGCTCCATAGCATCGGAAACTTCGGGCCGTATATATAATAATGTAATTTAATACATATTCGATCTTCATTCAATTCAAGCTATGTGAGGTCAAGTATGTCACCCCAACACCAGAGTACATATCTTATAATTTGCATTAGGATCATTAATTCCATTGTGATTCATTTTTTATTAGCTAACATTATAAAGGAATGATGCTACCAAAATGGAATGACAGATTTGCATAATGTATATCTTTAAGATAAAAGACACGATCGAAACTAGTTCGTTTAGACCCCGAAACGAATACAATATTTATATGGCGCGAGTACATATCTCGGCTATAATTCGGACAAGAATTTGACCTTTTTTTATACTTTAACTGTGCTAAAGTGTAAATTTTTCGCTGTTCGTGTAATTATATGTAAATTTTATAGACGTGAATATACTTATATATAGCATACTTACCGCAGATAGGCCACCACGATGTTTTTATATAACAACAAGAGACATTATGTGACTATTTAAATAAACGCTTTTAAAGCGAAATATATTAGTTAATTTATTTAACTACCCGACTATTTTAAAGGTAATTATTTTTGTAATACAGTAGTTTACTGTAATGAGCACATACATAATTAAGCGATACAATATTAGGTAAAAAATTCCGCCACCAAAATAAACCGAACCGAACACTTCAAGTAAACCGAAGAATTAAATCCATTTAAATATTTCAAAAGGGCTACATTGCACTTTCAATTATTTTTTTACGAAGCACTGTTAGGCTAAAGGGGAATAAAATATTTTAAGAAATATAATTCTCAAATAATTTATGATTGAGTTCAAAATGAGTAGCGACGCCACCGCGTCTGATCCTCACACAGGACACGTGTATTATTAATAATATTATCGAATTTAAATAATGTTTCTAATGCAAATGAAGCTACAAGTTACGTAATGCCTTATTAAACAGTGATAAATTATATTTAAAATACTATTACAATAATTCAAACCTGTTTAATGTATTTTAGTATATAATAACTTAGATTTTAACTGATAAAGAAGCATATATATTGGCTCCTTTATAACTAGTAACTTTTATAATTGTATTAAATAAATTTTAGGTCGGTCACATAGTCATTTATTTAAAATCTTTCGAAGTTTTATCACAATCATACACGTACCATTAGGAAAATACTAATGAAGATAAAATTACTACAAATTATATTAATATTATACTAATTATAAATTACACGCAAATACCAACAAGACATGTATAGTTGATCATTAAATTTATGTACTTGATAGAATAGACATGGTAACAAAAGGCATGTTTTTGTTATTATGTTTGGTATTTCAAATTGCCTTCCTGGGGCAATCATTAATTTACAAAAATATCAATCAATAAAATAGTCAACTAAGTAGTATTACCCAATACAAAGCAAGTGAACGTACCTATATTTCGATAGTTAGTAATTTTTTTCGTTGGTCTATGCAGCAAGTGCAAACTCTATCCAAACTTTAAAAATACAACAAAGCTAGCTGTCCCCGCGTCTTCGCCCGCGTGGAATAACTATTTTGGACATCAAAATCAATTTTTGGAAACTAACTCCACAGCCTCATAAATTGTACCTATTACTGAGGACGTTGTCTGCGTCCCATAGTTCGAGTTAACACATTTCTTAGATCGTTTAAAGAGGAACTGTATCATACATATTTTTCGGTTTCTAGAATCGTTTTCGCAGCGCACGCCCTCAAATATGATTACTCGTCTTTGTACACCGCTCCTGTTTGCGGCAGCCTTCCTCGAATCCAACACAAAAAAAATCTTTAGTTTGAACCAGTAGTTTCTGAGATTATAGAGCGTTCAAACAAACAAACTCTTCAGCTTTATACCATTAGTATAGATAGAACGACATCTAGTTTGTCTCCCGGCATGATCAAAGCTGAAACTCTCAGCGACAAGCGAGGATGGCAAACACTCGTCATTTCCTATTCGGCACGGCCCTCGGTATATTTTATGCGTGTCATGCCTACATAGCGAAAAGAAAAACTATATTTACTTCATAATACCTTAAGAATTACCATTATTCAATGAATAAAGAGACATAAATTCGAATGTCTCCATTATATTACGATATCGATCGTAAATCAGAATTTAATTCGATTCTTTAAATTTGCACCGACTTACAATAAGTTAGTGACATCGACGCATTCTCATCTTCATTATTTAAACCTGTGATAATAGTATAAAGCTGAAGAGTTTGTTTGTTTGCGCTAATCTAAGGAACTACTGGTTGGAATATAATTATTTTCGTTGGTTTAACAATTTATAGAGAAATGTGGATAATTATTCAACTTTGAGGGTGGGTTTCCGTTGCGTGAGCTTAGAAATGGTTCAAGATACCCAAAAATATGTCTTATTAAATAGTTTAAAAAGGTGTGCGCGACAGTACATGTCTATCTTTTATGATTGATTCATAACACAACCGTGTTTATGGTAGTCAACTTTTGGTAGAAACACTTAATGTGACAAAAGAACGTTTGCCAAGTCAGCTAGTATGTTACATATAATCATATAACTAAAAAATAAGCAATTACTATTTTACGTTAAGTTCATTTTGGAAGTCATTTCTTCCTATTACCGATTGTGTAACGAGTTAAAATTTGGTCCTTCACGGCAAGGTCCTTTGATGTAAAACCATTACCTTTTTATTCCACTCATGTAGGTAACTGTTTTACTGATGGTTATCGCCAAAAATAACCTTTAATTACTGTGTAGTTTGAGCTGCCCTGACCTTTTTGAACACATACTCACGCTACCTGTTTATGAAGACTTACAACTAACAAGATTTGGCATTCATTCATCTCTATTTATTATTTTTAAATAATGAAACTGTTTTAAGATGACTGACTCACTACACAAATAGATTGAGTCTATAAAAATAGTTATATTTCAATTTAAATAAGACTCTAACGGATTTAAACGCGATATATATTAGTTAAACTTATTTAAAAATTATTTTACGGTGATCGCGGAGAGACATGGCATCCGAAACGTCGGACTGTAGTTAAAATGATTTTTCAAATAAGTTGTTCAAATACACATCGCACTTTAAACCGTGTAACGGTGTTTTATTTTAATGTGTACTACTCTCGTAAACTACAGACAGTATTTGTATTTGAGTTATTTATTTCATATATTTTTATCTCTATTATTTCTTACATAGTTGTCTCAATTAACAACAGGGGCTTAGATCCCTTTGGTTGCCAGTTTAAGTCCCGTTCGTGTCGTCATTTCGTTCCAATCTAGAAAGAAATTAAATTTATTATCTTATTATATAGCAACTTTGACTGTATTAAAGGAGGTTTAAGCAACCAAAAACTAAATGTTTTATGGATATCTTTTGTTATATTTATTTATTATAAAAAAGCTTTTAATATTGAACCAACAAGGAGTTTTTTATGTTAACTGTTTAATATCATAATAATTAAAGTGTTTTTGATAGAAATACGTGTGTTGTAGTATTGCACTGAATTCGTTCTACATATTATTAAGTCTACATTCACACAGAGCATGAATTATGCACCACATCGATTACAAAAAGCGACACGAGATCAATTGCAGTGCGGGCTCTTTTAACTTTCTTTGTCGGCTCACAAACATGATAAAATAAGAAAACGCCTATATTTTTTCATTTAACCTCCCTGTTGTTTCTCGTGTACTGACCTACTGTGATAACACTGAGTTTTCACTTAACACACTTCTGGGGTTTTTTAAAGAACTGTTTATGTATTAATATTTATACTTATGTATTTTATTTTTTATGGAAAATATGAGATTTTCCTTTTTTATGATAATACTTGTATGTCATAGCAAGCATGGGGGTTGCTTGTTAGGTGAAATACCGTACACATAACGCTGTTAACCTATTTCGGCATTGAGTACTCGATAGTGCACAGACTAGAACCATAACGCGACTAAACTTCACGGCTTTTTCATTTGTGTTGGTCGTTCGTGACCTAGACGAAATTTCGATATTCCTATCAACCATTTAATACCCAGAATTACAGACGAAGTCCAATATATTTCAGAAAAAATATTTTTACATTACTAATGTAGTAACGTAATGATTATGACAAAAAAATTTCAGGCAGCACACCAGCACGAAAATCGATCAACATAGATAAAGGTATACCTATACGTACGTTGAATGTGGATTCGAAACCAATTGATATAAGTATGTAATTACTTGATTTTTATTAATTATGATTAAAGAAGGTAAACACAATTTTACAACCATACTACAAAGTCAGACAAACTAAGCAGTCTAAAATTGCCTACAGTTTGTATAGGTTATAAATGTCAATAGAAGCCGCTGACAGCAAACGAATGCAGGTGTATACTTTGTTCTTTACCGATGTTTT